GCTGATTTCACCACTTCTTTGGGAAAAAACAAACCGGAGAAAGGCTCAGGCAGCAACAGATGTTGCCTTCTGTTTGTCTCGGAACACAAAACTCAAAATAGAGGCGGGACTCCTTCCACTTTCCAAGGTGGAAGTCCAACTTTTAGGAGGCTTCCGGCTAATTTTTCCATGTGGGGGAAATCCGTTCTCAGAGTTAAAAACCTTTCATGATATAATTTGTTGTTTTCACATGGACACAGTTGGAGAAGGACAGGACTTTACTGGCTGATGTAAGCATGAATGTGGGGTTCCGGTTGTAAAGTAATACAAATTTGATCACATTTAGCTTCAAATAACATTAGAAACTAAAATCCATTCATCCATCATCTTCTGCCTATCAGGGGTTAGGTCACAGGGGCAGTAGCCTAAGCAGAGAAGCCCAGACTTCCCTCTCCCCAGCCACTTGGACCAGCTCCTTCGAGTGAATCCCACGGCGTTCCCTGGTCAGCGGAGAAACGTTGTCCCTCCGGCGTTTCCTGGGCCTTCCCTTAGGCCTCCTCCTGTTTGGACGTGCCTGAAAAACCTCACCAGGGAGGCATCCTAACCAGATGCCCGAGCCATCTCAACTGGCTCTTCTCAATGTGGAGGAGCAGCGGGTCTACGTAGACTCCTCCACCTGAGGCAGGATCTCATCCCTGACCTGGAAAAGGCATTCTACCCTTTTCCGATAAAAAACAAATATTCTGATTAAAATCTATATATGCTGGTTTTGAACTAAATATTTAGCTTAAATGAAAGCTCCAACTGCTGACCAATGGAAGTAAGCTCTAAAATGAAAGAACCCCTGGAGTCCAACTGAAGGTCTCACTGGGGCTGTATGCTCTTTTGGAACTTGAGGGAAATTTTACTGGAACTTTGTAGCATGCGTGTGTCTGCACCTCAGCGGGACGGCCCAAAGAACCACTTACCGAGCCATTTTCTGGACAAACTACGTACCTGAGCTAGGGGTAGGCCCTTGGAATGGCTCAGTAGAGTCACTGAGCTGAACTACTGGTGAACCCACTCTGATTGGTCGAAACTCAGTGGGACATTGGCAAACGTCGCCCAAACAACCGGCGTTGGGAGAGTTGTTGGTGAAGCGGAATAGAAGGAAAAGAAAATGAGCAGCATTGATGCCTTTTTTAAATCACTGAACTCCCAACAGCAAAACATACTGTAAAAATTACTCCAAAACAACGAAACTCACAAATCTTTGTGGTCTCTTAGAGCACCGTAAAAAACGGTTCTTCTGGTCAGTCAACGCCATGTTTCACGTCACAGTCGGTCTCCCAGTCCTCCAGCTTGATTAAATGACGCTTTACGTTATTAATGTTACTGTGGACACTTTCTGGTGCTGATCAGCGACATCACTCACTGCTCAAGTTTAGATGCAATTGTAATGGTAAGATATTTAGATTTATAGCATTGTGTTTTGTTTAATCTTGATATCGTATGTTAAATATATATATATATATATATACAGCATAAACATAAACCACTTTGTAATTTCATAAACAAATAAACTCAAAGTTATTGAAAAAATCATCTGATTTTTGATGTTGTGAGGAGTTAAATGTTCCTTTATTCTGGAATACTTTCCAGGCAGCGCTGCTTACGCGAGCCCATTTAGCAGACCTAAAGAACAAATCTGTTGGACAAGCTCTTCTTTTAAAAACACTAATGAGATTTTAGAACAACTGGAGTGGAGAACATTGAGTTATCAGACGCAGCGTGGCGCTCTCCCCTGAGAATTCCCTTAAGGTAGAAGAAATAAGCAGGTGTGGGCCTGAGACGTGTCTTCTGGGAGATCAATACATGTTAACATCAGTCCTGAGCGGCACTTGGAGCTAACACGGTGTGTGTGTGTGTGCTGTTTCTGACTCAAACAGGTGTTCGGGGATCTTGGACCGACGCTGATGTTCCTCTGATATTCAGTATACAGGTTCTGGTCTGGGTGCTGGATTTAGCCAGTGGTCTTTACACTGAATGGACCCTGGGGTCGGTGGTGGTGGGGGTTGTCGGTGAAGTGGTGGAGCATTAGGCTGAACAAATAGCCACAGCTTAGATCCTTTATCTGCTGGGCTCTGGTTGCTTTGATGAAGCTGCTGGAACTTCAAGCGGAGATGCTTTGATTCTGCATCGCTGCTTTTTGAGGTTTTCTGCTGACTCTCTGAAATTCCCTCCTCACCTTTGTACAAACAACACATATTCAGATTGTTATCTGATTTACTTACGCCTTTGTTTTTGGGTGCCACCATCAAAGCCATGATGGGAAACAACCCAGACACGCGAGAAGATCAAAGCCTGCAGACTGAAGGCTGGAAACCAACCTGAGCTGCACGCAGAAACCAGTTCACGGCTGGCTGGCGCTGCAGCTCCCTCCAGTGTTTAGTCATAGACGGTCTAATGGAAAAACAACACATGTAGTGGTTACATTGAAACCAATGACTGGAACAGATGGACAAACCCTCCACGCCGTCACCTGGAGGTGTTTGTTGGGTGGCTCTGCTACCCTCTGTCTCCTAGGCTGTGACAATTTTTACCTAAGGTCAAGGCTGAGACCTTCTCTGGAACAAGCAGGAGGGCAATCTGGTAGCACTGACAGCTTATCGGTCACCCATCAATCAAAAGGACACGTCCCTATGTAGTCATGATTTAATTACATCTAAGTGGATGAGCTTTCATGATGATAAACGTGCACTTTGACAGCTGGAGATTGCCCTTTGATTGAAACAGATTTTATTCCCAACCAGCTGGGAGGAGCATTGGAGATTCTAGTCTAGATTGGCCCACTGAAGTGTCCCTGCCCTGTCACTCATCTGTCTTTTGCGGTGACATAAGTGGATGCAATTCCAAGTCCAAACACCAGTGGAGCTAATGAACCAAACAGGAATTCCCAGTGTGAGGTCTTGTGTAAGGCTGATGAACTAATACTTGGCTCCGTACTTGAAAAATCCCAGACCCGCCACCGGGGTGGAGGTCAGTTCTTCTGTTAAAATGTGAGAAGAAGATAGTCTTAAGGGTTGCCAGGCCTGTGCCGACAAAAGCGCCAGAACAGTGGGCAGCATGCTAACCTATAAAAGGAGGCCAGCCCACGGGTCCCCTGAATGAAAAAATAAAAAGAATGAAATGGAATTAAAGTTATTTCCTGAATAAATGTTGTACTTTCATTTAACTGAAAAATAACTGTTTGATTGGAAAAAAATGGTAAATAAAAAGACTACAAATCACAAGTGGTATGACATCACAGCAGAAACTGGCTGCCACTGTCCCGTCATGCGAACGGATTCTGTTATTTCTCGTTCCGGGGACCCGTGAGCCGGCCGGAAAGGGAGGAGACTCCATTTTTACTGTGAGGATAAAACATCAACAGTCAGTGTAGAGCAGGGGTGTCAAACTCATTTTAGCTCAGGGGCCACGTTGCGAGAAATCTAGTCCCAAATGGGCCGGACCGGTAAATTAAAAACAACTTCAGATTGTTTTCTTTGTTTTAACTCATTCACTGCCAATGACGACTAAAGTCGTCATTTGCATTTTTTTTTACTGTTTGAGCATCAGAACGAGCCCCCGCTCTGAGAGAACCAACATCTCAGCCCTGAAGCCGATCTTCATCCGCATACGTCACACGTCACATGATCAGGAAGCAGACCATCCATGTATTAGGAGATCGTTTTGGGCCGTTCCTGCAAAAAAGTGAGGCGCGAACCGGAAAAGCGTCTGCTGATCACAATTCAACAACGGATTATGAAAGAACGGATAACGCTCGAAACACGCGGATTCCTTCTGATGTAAGAGGTCAGTCTCCGCTTTGTTTTGGTATCGACATCATGCAAGCGTGCAACGTTCTGTGACTCTTAAAAAACAGTAAAAACGGTGAGAAACGCTGGCAGCGAAGGCCGTTAGCGATCAGGAAACGGCTGGCAGTGAATGAGTTAATACAATCAATATAAAACAAAGCTGGAGTCTGAGGACAGTGTATCCAAAATAGTACAAGTACAACACCTGAAGTGTACTTGAAAATTTGAAAAAAATAAATAAATAAATAAATAAATAAAAATTCCTTAGTGATTCAAAGAGCTTACAGATCACATGGCTAGATCAGTTTCGTGCAGCACTTAAAGTATATTTGACAAATTTTACTTTACATCTTTTAGCTTTCACCAGCACATCAACATCAGAAGTCACATCCTGAGTGGCGGCCAACTTCAGGATGTGATTCAAGTTCTTGTGTGAGCCTTGAGCGCAGCTTTGTTTTATTTATACTCATTAGAGAAAACTTGCTCACAAAGATACGTTTATTATCACTCTACATCGTAAAGTATGAAAATAAAGTTTACACAACCATCTCGCGGGCCGGATCTGGCCCGCGGGCCGCATTTTTGACACCCCTGGTGTAGAGTGATGTTGCTGTTAGCCAATCAGAGATGTCCGAAAATCAGGAAATAATTACAGATATTGAGCACATGTTGTGTACTGGGAATCAAAAATGTAAAATATAAATATTCCATAAATGTGATCTGTTTATAACAGCTGGGAGACATTAACAGATCCCATTTGATGTTATTTTGACTCATCTATCCCATAATATCCTGCAGTCATCCTAGGGAGGGTTGACTTCTGTAATCATCATGAACACACACGCTTCCACGGGATCTCCTGTGACAAATCAGCTGGCCTTTAAAGGTTACTGACATGGTTTCAACAAGCCGCAGATACGACGGCTCCATCACCTGCAGGAGGATCTCCTCTGCCCGGCCGCCTGCTGGCGCCGACGCCGCTCCGGAAAACGCGATGACATTTGTCACGCTGCACTGACATTTTTAAAGCAGTTCTGGTGCCAACAAACTCAAACGGGACGCCGTGTTGACCCAGAGCGACCTTTTCTTTTAAAGACTTCTTTAATACTGACATTTTATCTGATGATCAATTCATCTCACGACAGCAATTGAAGTTGTTTTTAAACAAATAAGCACAAGAGCTCATTTATTAATTGCAAAACCAGTGTTTTAATTATATTAACACTCAAGTGAATATGAGTTATATAATACTTTAAAAAGGCTGCAACAATTTGAGGCAAAAAAGCATAAAACAAAAGAATAACTAATAATATGCAGGCAGATTAATATAATAAATTAAAAGTATTTCAGGCCTTTACAGCAAAACAGTGATGCTGTACAAAACACGGGTGAGAAATATACAATTTCTGCATTTCAGGATTCCCTGCAATTAAAAAAAAAATCCCCAGAATAAACAAAACCCCACAATTAAATCAAGAAAAGGATTTAGCAGAGAAGGAAAGGCACTAAAAAGAAAGGGCTCTTTGTTAGTGTCACCGATGCATCCGTGGCTGATTCAGGGTCAATTTGACGTGAAGTTTTATGTATTTTTCTCCTGATTGCATTTCGCAGAGTCTTTGTAGCGCAGTAAACAAACGGGTAAGACAGGACGATGAAAGGAGGCCCGTCGGGGGAGGGGGTGTCCTCAAACCACAAACTTGTTCTTGGTGGTGGAGCCGCTCTTGGTGGCCGTGTCTGTGTGGGACTGGTAACCGATGGTCATCTTCAGAGGAAGTCCCAGGCGCTCCTTGTAAACCCTCCTGGAGACGTGGAAACAGCGGAGTGAGAAGGGGCGCTACAGCGCCGGCGTGTTTACGGGTAGTCGGACTCACCCTATGTGCGTCACCGCCTCCCGGTTCTCGAAGTCTGAAGTCCAGACGGCTATTTTATCTCCTTTGTTGCGAACGTTGACCACGGCTCCGCAGACGTCGTCGCTGTAGTCGTCGAAAGCCTCTCCGACTAAACACAGCAGCTGATGGGAGGAAGGAAACACGGGATCAGTCAACGAGTCTGAATACGACGGGAAAAGCAGCCACCCCGTTCCGTTATGGTGTTTGGATCTGGCTCATCTAAAGGACCAAAGGAAACATCTCACCAATCCAATCCTTCTGTTCTGGAATTACAGCCGAGGGCCAAAAACCACTTTGGACCCCCTCCTCTGTGGGTCACATGATGACATCATAACCGCCGCAAACGAGCAAGGGACCTTCAAGTTTGATGTTCTTCACCACTAAACTTTTAACTTTCTACTAGAGAAGGCTGATTTTTCCAAGGGGCCCTGAACTCACCATCCCTACACTGATAGACCTCCTCTGTGGTTTTAACCCGAACCCAGAAGCGAGGTTCTGCCCTACACAAACGGGCTCAAAATGACTGTTTTACATTCACAGTTTTAGGGTTCTTTAACAGATTTCAGTAGAAAATCAGCTGATTCTGGTTCTCTGAGATGACTGGGAATTGGCCCGGAGAACCAGAACCAGCGCATCGTTCCTCCCTTGCAGAACTCTACCGTGAAGAAACGTTCTAATAATTCAGGTTTTCTGTCACCGGTAACCGGACTCCCAGCCAGGGTTCTGGTTGGAGATCCAGAACCCTGGCTGGCTTTGAGTGAGGGGACAGGCGCAGCCGGACGTACGGTCTCCAGCCAGAAGCGGTCCAGGTCCTGTCTCCTCTGCTGCTTGGTGAGGGTGATGAGCCAGCGCCCGCCTCGCTTGTTCCTCTCGTCCTCCCACATGGGCTCAATCCCATCCTGCAGAGCCGGGTCACACGGTCAGAACCAGAAATCACCACAGGTTTAATAAAGATTAGATGAACAGATTTCGAGTTTTGGACCTTAAAGAGGGAATAATCACAGCCGGACAGCAGGTTACTGGACAGCTGGATGTGGTTGTAGAGTCTGAAACAGGAAATCAAACAGAATTAACAAGAGAAAAACTCAAAAGGGCAGAAAATACGATGTTTATCGTTTCTTACGCCCAAAAATCTTCCACCGTGTCAAATTTAGAGATTAGTCTCAGATTGGCCTGCCATGTTTTACTCTTGTCGTTCTTGAAGAACCAAAGAGACCACCTGGGATCAAACACAGGAACGGGAATGTCAGATAATGCGCTCATCCTCCAGGAATGACCTAAACGGACCAGTTTAGACCTTTGTCCCAAACTCGTCTCACATTTCCCCAACGAACACGAGACAGAAACCAGAACGACCCAAGACGGGTTTCACCAGTCTGTTAACTCACCAACACCAAAACACGATCATTAAACTAAAACCAGTTAAACCAGCTGTCCTTCTGAGGTGGTCCGATTATGGGATGTATTCTGTGTTGGTCGTCCTCACTGTGCTTCATCACTAAAACCAAACCCGCCAGAGCTGCTCCAGCTCTTCTGTTTGACCCTGATGGACATAAATATCCTCCTGGAATTTAAATACACATAAAATATTCAGACGGCTGATTTGTATTCAGCAGCGCTGTTGGAATGAAGCTGTCGGAAAGCTGGCTGGGAGGAAAACAGGTGGGAAAACCATTCGGCCATTCAGAAAAATGTCAAAGGTGGAAATTATCCATATTTCACACCATGTAGATGGCCTCCTGAATGGCCTCTGTTTGGAGAAATAAAGTCTGGGATTGATAAGCTCATGGCTAGTCTGAATCTGATGGCTGTCGTTTAAAATGGTCCAATCAAACTTCCCACTGGTTCATGTGGCGTTATTTAACCTCAGTTCCATGCTGCAGGCCATGTATGAGGAATACTGGTATTCACAGGCATTTCTCTGAACGAGCCCAGAAGTAATCAGGATACTTTCTAAATGTAGATTTTGGCGATGTCACGATTAAAGCTGCAAAGCTCCAGTTGGGTCTGTATGGAAAGCAAACATGTGTAAATATGTGCATCATTAAGCTTCCTGAGCACATTTCTTTCAGGGTTTTCTGACTCTTTTTAAACAACCACAACATTTTATTTGTTGTTGAAACCTTTAAAATGACCTTAACATTCAGAGCTGACGGACTTAGCTTTGGTCTGAAAAGTTTAGAAGATCAAAGACTAAAGTGTTATTTCATGCATATTTTGGTGTATTAAAGAGTCGCTTTGTCATGTTAGATGTTATCAAGTACTGAGGAACATTTTTGGAGTCGATCAAATTTCCTGTGTGGCTCGTAGGACGCTGTTTAGAGCTCAGATTAGAGGAAAAAATAGAAAAATATGACTTTTATTTTATAGCGATGATACCAGATATTACTTGTACTCAAATTGCTAAGAGCACCAGAGCATCCTTTCCTATAATCTGGCTTCCAGTGTTCCTTTGAACAGAAATTCACTCGGAGAGCAGAAGGATTTGACAGAGTGAGGTTTCCGATATTGGTTTTCTGCACATATAAAAGTTTACTTTCCTGTAAAATCTCTGTAAACTGATCACATGATGATCCTTTTACGTGACCTTTGGACATGACTGACAGATTTAAATGTGCTTCCTCATCGCCGCCGTAATCAAGCCACCTGTCAGGATCACCAAACCTGTTCTGAAGAGGATGTTTGATGTAGGCCTCCGGGCTCACAATCTCCTGTCCGCTCTCCTCGGCTCCATCTTCATCGGGAAGGGTCGGGCTCGGATTGGTTTCCTAAAAAACACACGGGAAGCAGCTGGTATGTGATGTAGTCAGGGATGCACAGATACCGATACTAGTATCGGTGCCAACACAGATACTGATACCAGTATTGGCATCGGTAAAAGCTAACAGATACCAGTAACTGATACCAATGCAGTTGCTTGAAAGTAACTTCACTGTAACGTGCCATTTCTGTTCATCTAATATTTTAGTTTTGTGATCAATTATATTACTTTTTATCTACCTCACAGTCTTCCTATTGAAAACAGAAGAAAATAAAACCTGTATTCCAATTCATTGCATTTCTTTGCGTGGTAGTGGTATCTGTATCGGTAACCGGTATCTGCGAGTAGTCAGATCCAAGTATCAGTATCGTATCGGTTTGGAAAAAAGTGGTATTGTTGCATCCCTAGATGTAGTATGGGAAAAGTTTCTCATTCCCAAGGAAACTGGGATGATTCCTGGTTTAAACCTTTAAACTGATATATTTAACAGAAGCTGCAAACTTTGCTGTTTTAATCTGAAATGTTGTGATATTATCTGCAAAATATGTTACAGTGAATACAAAAAGATAAAAAAAAAATAAAAATAAAAACCGAGAAAATTTTGTATTTTTAGGATTTATGTGGAATTCCCAAAGTTGATGTTGAATAAATTAAATGAATTTAAGGCACGCAAATTTAAATATTAAAGACAGCTTTATATTTTTTGGATTAAAACAGACCCTTTTAATGTGAAAGTTTCCAACAAGTTTGTCCTTGATGTGATACCGTAGAGGACAGAACGAACCGGTACCGACTAGTTTTAACGGTTTATCGTATATGGCTCCTTATTCCACCCTCTTTAGACAGTTTTCAGTCAGTAAACGTGTTAAAACATCCACATGTGTGTTACGATCCTCTAACAGCGACATTAAAGCAGATGGTGGTCGGTTAGAGAGGCTAAAATGTTGCTGAAGTCAAGAGCAGCTCGGTCAGCTGAAAGTTAGGAGATCCTCACATTCCTTCTCTTTTACGCCTTTTTAGGTCGTGGCACAGTGAACACGTTTAAAACTACAGAAAACATTAGTTTTGAACCAAATAACCGGCCTCTATGGTCGGGACAGCCATGTTTGCAGCGCCAAATAAACTTTAAACGTTGTTTCCATCTGGAAACGAAACAGGGAGGCTGTCCATATGTTCTAAAATGTTCTTAACTGGGAGCACTCACCGGTTCAGCGGTCGCCATCTTACAATACTCTGTTAGGAAAGTTTCTGCTGATTGGACCGTACGGTGAAACGTCAGGAAGTATGGCAGGTCGTTGTTGCATATAGTAATAACGTTCTAAAAACAATCAAAACTTTATGGAAGCCTATTATAGCTGCATGAAAAATGAACAACAGACAACCTGGTATATAATAACGTTAATGATAAAATTATAATTTTATAAAAAGGTTTAAACGTAATAACAATGAACAATTATTAAATTCATTGTAGTAATAAAATTACTACATGCAACAGCAACAATAATAGCATGATACCTATATTCACAATCGTGACAAAGTTTTTAAGTCCCACAATAATTGGGTTGTTTATCAACATTCTGAATTAATCTCTTAATCTTGAGTTTAGGCCTGGTCACACCCAACTACTTCTGGTTTGTGGGTCCCTATTTCCCCCCCAAAATTAACAGCAGTCTATAGAGCGATAAAAGTAACTTTATGATCCCAGTAATCGGAAGGTTGCAGGTTCGATTGTTCCAACCCAGACTCTTTCCATGTCAGTTGTTGAAGCCTACAGGTTTCTGGTGGCATGTGTGTACCATAGAACAGCGGTGGCAGTGATGCTTATCACTACCAGCAGATGAATGTGTGTTGAAAAACAGCAATAACTGAGAGTAAAGCACTTTGGTGTCCTCAAACCCAGAAAGAAGCTGTACAAATGCAGGTCATTTATCATTTATCAGGACGATTTTAGGTATGAGAAATCCTTCTTGGATAAAATGCATGTGAATAATATAAAATCTAATGTTTCGCTATTAAGAACATAACAGAAATTGTACTGACTGCTGTTAAAAATTTCAGAGGATCCGGTTTTACCCTAAAAGGGGGCGTGAACTGGGATGTGCTTCTCTCACAATCGTTTTAACTATTATATGATGACTCGGCTTGCCCTCGTCCCTGAATGGATGGCTGCGCATCGGTTCCTCCACCCCTCCTACAGACAGAGGCATGGCGAGCACCGAGGCCAGAAGGGAGTGTGAGACGGAGGGTTGCGACCGGGACGCTAAACTTCAGTGTCCCACATGCATCAAGCTCGGCATTCAGGGCTCTTATTTCTGTTCACAGGTACTCAGCTTTTCTTATTTTGTTCTGGTAAAAAGGGACCTGTAGCCACCCGGGGCCTCTTATCACCCGGCCGCTAACGCTGTCATGCTAGATATGTGTGGTTTACTAGCTTGTAGATCTATAATAACATGGTTGGAAAACCTTGGTGCATATATTTTAGCTGTGTAATAAAGTTCAGGCTGTAAGAGAGTATAAAACAATCTGAATGTGCCGATTTCTGTAACAAAATCCCGAGGGGGAATAAACAAACGTTTAGCTAGCTAACCACAGTGAGTGGTAGAAAAGTGCTAAAAATAAAATTAGATTTGGTGATGTTCTTAATTGCAGCATTTGTAATAAAACATATTGTACGGAGGACAAGTATTGTAATTCAGAAGACTGGTGTTTAATTCTTAGGTGTAAAACTACTGAGTTGTGCGTCAGATCATTTGATGCCACGATGTTTGACCTCCTTCCATGTTCGGTTTCACACTGGAGACCAAACTCCACTTAGAAATCTGATATTTTCATTTTCGGCTGCTTATGAATACAGTCGTCAACGTGATTTTATCACTGACATTTTTGCAAAGATCGAATAAAACATTCCGATTACACAATGTGCAAATAATATGAGTATTACTTCTTTTTTTTTTGCTCTGCTGGTCAAATCGTGCTGGTGTTGTAAAGTTTTCTTTTGCATATGACAGACAGACAGACAGAGTCTGTGTAAGGAGATCCTGATCTGATCTGATCTGATCTGGTCAAACCTTCACTCAGAAGTTAAGCTGAGCCAGCTTTGCTTTGGTTTCTGATTGTTGCTGTGAAAGTAGCTCAGTCTGCTGGGAGCTGAGCCAGCTGTCCAGTCAGGTCAAAGTCATTAAACTAAAGAAGATTTCTGACATTTTAAATCAGAATTCTGACATTAATGTCATAATTCAGTAGTCTGTCAACCCAACCTATATATGTGAATATATCGTCTGGCTGCGACCCATAGACAAGAGTACAGTCATGGGACGGGATCTACGGTTGTCTATTGGACGACGGACAATGTGACATACTCACCACTACTGATGTCAGTCATCGGGGCAGTCCTCCATACTCTGTTGAAGAAGACGCTAATAAATCTTTTTTTCTAAATAAAGGACTTAAAGCCCCAGTGTGTAATATTTTTAGCTGTTTGCTATAAAACCTGTGTTTCCAGTTCACAAACTTGTCCTTTTTAATTAATATTTATCACCAACATCAATTCCAAATATTCCTCTCAGCTTGAAATTTGACATTGTTAAATGCATAAACTGTGGTCGACGCTCCATAGCCATCCACCATCTTGAAATAGGGACATTTGAGATCCGCTTTGTGCATTAGTACTATGACTGTAACCTGAAAGAACCAGCAGAGGGCAGCGGTGTGCCCTGGAGACACGGACTCTGCTAATTCAACTAAGAAGTAGAAGAGACTAGCTACACCGTTGATGTGCTTGTTAGTTTGAATAATAAACAATGAAATCGAAAGACACATCAAACTGGTCAGGTCGTCATCATGTCCAACACTAGGAAGCCACATATGTTAAGATCCTCGCCCGCTGTTAGCTGGACACCAGCCCCCGAGTGGTGTCCCCCTTGATTCCCTAACTCACCTTAAGTTGCTCATTCATCTTTTCGTCGTACCAGAACTCCCGATCCAGTCCCAACGTGTCAGTCCCAGAGTCCTTCAGTTCAAGTCTCCTCTCTTTTGTGTGTTCGTTCTGTTCGTTCCTGCAGCCTGCCATCTCTCCTTACACACTCCAGCACTCGTCCACTATCCAGTGGCTAAATCAGCATGGTTTACTTCATTTCCACAAACACATTACTAACAGCGATGTATTTCTCCACGCGTTACAGAGATGACATGCTTCTCTGAGGGCTTCTTCTCAACTTCAGACGTGGGTCTCCTTCGGCTGGTAATCCGTGTTTATGCATAGCATGTCCCTGGCTCGCCAGCCGTGGCTCACGCCGTGGCTGGTGGGGCGACGGTGGCACAGGAGTTAAGTGCTCGCCCCTGTAATCGGAAGGTTGCAGGTTCGAGCCCCGCTCAGTCTGTCGCTGTCGTTGTGTCCTTGGGCAAGACACTTAACCCACGTTGCCTGCTGGTGGTGGTCGGAGGGACCGGTGGCGCCAGTGCTCGGCAGCCTCGCCTCTGTCAGTGCGCCCCAGACTCTAGAAGGCGCTATATCAAATACAGGCCATTTACCATTTAAAAGTCAGCATTGTTTACTTGATCTCCACGGTGCGTCCCCAGATCGCTAACCCACCTTCGCCAGCCATGGTGCTGCCAGTGATGGCTCCATAAAAGATTGTTTTCTTCATTTTTCCATATCCATTAGCTGGTAGCAAGCTTGTTTATAAAGCTGCTCTCATCCACGTGAAGCAGGTGTTGTGGGAAATTATGTTCCCCTGAAATATTCTGCTTCCCTTAGGCAGCCAAGAGCAAATATTTCCAGATTCACAGAACTTATTGTCCATTCTGAGGACTAAACCTCCTCGAGTAAAAGGTGGTTAAACTGACTGAGATTTCATCCTTTTACATAACTTTCAAAAACGATAAATAAGCTTGTAGAGTGAACAAGAATGTTTTTAACTGTATCTTTTTATTGTTTTCAGGAGGACTTTTAGATAAAAAAAATCACAAACATGACAGTATTGCATTACTTTACATACATTTACATAATTTTCTTTCTTTCATGAGTGAGCCACCGTAGCTGCAATACTTTCTCTGAACTGCATGGCGTTAAAGAGTTAAATTTTTATCATGATTTCAATGGATTTCACTTACGGGGCATTTAAGGCCTAGTCCACACGTAGCCGGGTTTTTTTTTTTGAAAAAGAATATCCTCCCCTCCAAAAACTTGCATCCACACCACCGCGTTTAAAAAAAAAACTCTGTCCACACGTACCCGGATAAATACGTTGTTAAGGACATGCCAGACCTGTAGGCGGCAGTACTTCCCCCGTTCTTAACCTCGTCCTTCGTCTGTGGTCTTCCACAAGGAGCAGTAATTCCTCTTGCAAAAACAAACAAGCAGAAAGTGCTTGGACAATTGATAAAGCTAGCGCAGCTCTGAGGGCATCCATGATGTCGACTAGTGTAAACACAGGTCGCACACGTGATGTCAGCATTTTTTTGTCGCGGAAAGTGACGTTGCGGACCTTAAAACTCCGGTTTTGTCCGTCCACACGCCGACACCCAAAACGGAGAAAACGCAGATCTTCACTTTGGCCGGAGTTTTTAAAAAGATCCGTTTTCGTGTGAAAAAACTCTGTTTTCGTGTGGATGACAGGCCAAAACGTAGAAAAATATCTATGTTTTGGCAGATCCCCGGCTACGTGTGGACAGGGCCTCAGTACCTTTATCTGCTCTTGACTCAGAGAAAAGCCCAAATCTAAATGATCCAAAGTTGATGCCAAAGTTGCTTCAAACAAGCCACCTCTAACTTTGGTTCACTCAGGTGCAGTAGCATCACGCCCACCAAACCGATAGGGGGCTGTGATTGGCCCACCTAACCGTGATAGGCAAGACACAAGACTGTCCGGGGCTCCAGTGGGGCGTGGCTAGACCGACCTGCAGAGAAAAGTTCTTTTGCTTCTGCTACTGTCTGTCTAGGTTTCTTGGCTCAGGATTCTGACTTTAACGTCAAAAGCTGTCTTAGTAAATGTTTGTGACCAGTATGTAAACTCGACTTTATAAAAGCTTTATTATAGTTTTCTGAATGTTTCTTTTCAGCTTAGGTTAGTAAAATAATACCATCATTTAGTTTTAAGCACACATCAGTGTAGATTTACTAATCATGCCTGTTAATTAATTTATAAAGTATATTAATTGTACTGATAATCTTCCCCTGCAGGAATGTTTCAAAGGGAGCTGGGTGTCTCACAAGTTGCTGCACAAAAAAGCAAGTAGGTACCAGAGATGAGCGTCCTGCGCTGTGTTTAACATGAATAAATGACATGTTGGGATGTCACGTGATGTCAAAGACTGGAGGATCTAAAGATTTTATTTGGTGGTTTTATTTTCTCTTAGAGGAAGACAAACACCAGTCGGAAGATAAGAACTGTGTGGAGAAGGACGCCAACACAGATCCATGGCCAGGTTATCGTTACACGGGGAAGCTTCGGCCCCACTACCCACTGGTAGCTTATTTAGATTTACATGTCAGTCTGAGTGAATTATGGCCTTTATTATTAGTTTATTGATGTGTTTGGTCACCTGTTTAGACTCCCATGAGGCCTGTTCCAGGTGACATCCAAAGACCCGACTATGCTGACCATCCCAGAGGTAAATCTATCAGGTCACACGGCCTCTCTTTTATTATTATTTCTAATTAACTTGAGAAATCTGCTTCTATTGTTAGTGATGTGAATTGGTGTCGGAGACGATCGCTTCAAAGACCAGAAAAGTTCCACGAGTGGTCCATCACAGTTTAGGCTAATAGTGCTAAATATTTCAGTCACTTGCACAAGTTAATTTTTACAGATTATTCAGCTTTAGAAATGTTAGAGCTGTCATCTGACTGACGTTCCATAGAAAATGGACAATCCCCTGGGCTGTTTTAGTTTAATCAGCCTTTTTGACACAAACCTGGGTTTGATTGTGCCGAATCGTGTCGGTGCGAGATCTGGATCAGCGTCAGCGAACCTGCAGGCTGCTTCTGGTCTCGCCCTGATTTTCACGGCTCGTCTGATTCTTTTTTTTTTTTGTAAACAACCACTCAGTGTTTTCATCCTCAGAGGTCTGGCTTTACATTTATTTTCTATGCAAGTCATTCATCGTGAAACCATGGCAACTTCAGCATCACTGTCATCCGACTGCGTAGATTCATACCCAGGTTGTCATGGTAACCGTCTCCATTCATTCTCCCGTGATTCCAGCTCAGTAGCTGCAGGTTAATGTTTCCGTACTCAGCTGCTGATAAACTATAATCATACTAAGAGACGAGACATCGGGGACATGTCCTCTCTGGACAGGTTTATCAAGGGTCCAGGTGATCGTAGCGTCTCAGGATCAGAGGGAGGTTCTGTTCCACTTGTACACATGTCAGTCTCATCACTGTGTTGCTAGGCAACTGTTCATTCATCCTGCTGGATGTTGGAGTTAATAAACGAGTTAGTTTGACTGGCTCTGGTTTGGGTGTTTTCCCGTTCGGCTGCTCTGAGATCTGTGCTTCTCTTGTTCTCTGAAACGGTTACATTCCTGCTCTGTTCCAGCGACGCAACGGTGTGAGTGTTACCCAAGCTTCCTGTGCTCAGGTGCTAAAGCTGTAGGGTAGTCCCCACAGCAGCTAGTGATTCATAGCGCCGCTGCTTCGCAAGATGCCTTTAAAGTTTCTTATGTTTAGGATTCAAGCAGGAAAACCGTTAAAGCAGAAGAAGTCTTGGAACTTCTGGTTCGGAGCTCCGGTGTCGTCTAACCCAACGGAGAGCTCTGCCAGGATGTCTGGTTTTCATTTTTTATGCAAGCTAAATCTACTTCCTGTAGTTTATGTGGTTGTAATTAATGGCGTTGAGACATCTCATTTAAATAAAATTAGATTAAATAGAGCTGAGGATGTTAGAGATGTGACTTCTAGAATAATTCATCAAAAACTAAACTGCTAGGAGGCAGAACTGGGTTCCAGGCTGACACTTTTGGGTTTGTGAAAACTGCAAATAAACAAATGTTTGTACGAATTTTGTTGCTGTTTAGTTACAAAATGTTGCAATTATGTCTCTGTGTATTCTCATTTTATATGGCGCGGGATGGGGGCCAATATTAAGACTACTGCCCAGCAGCAGGAGGCTATATAAATTCTGTAGCAAACTACCAACCTGATTAATGATAAGCTGGCGCTGGTTACTGAGAAAATAGCACCTTTACCGGCGTTACTCCTAGATACGCTAGGGACTAGCAGCCCTCGGCTGGTCATTGACTGGTTCACACACTCCCTCTGCTGTCTATTAGCATGGATAGGCTAGCGTTAGCCTGGACGGGCTGGTATTAGCATTGGAGAGGCTAGCCATTAGCGTGCCTAGGCTGGCCACTAGTTGGATTTCCTACCCTCTTGACGACCATTAGCATGGATAGGCTGGCTGGATTCTACTGATATTTCAATCAGTAGTTTGTTTTGGAATTTATATAGCCTCCTGCTGCTGGGCAGCAGTCTTAATTTTGGCCCCCATACCGCGCCATAATTTAATTCCCAAACTCGTCTCACGTTTCTCTGCTTACTTACTGTCAGAACATAAATTACCAAAGTTGTCAAGCAAACGATTTAATGTTCAAAACTCCAGGAACACGAGACCTGAGAAACCCTTGCAAATGTTTCGAGACATTTATGAGACTCCTCATCATCACCCAGTGAGATTCTGGCAAATCCTCCCAAAATATCTGAATCCTAAACATCAGAAGTTATGTTGTGAGAATAGTTCAGTTAAACTAGTCTCTCACCAGTCTGCAGCTAGTTGGAGACAAATTGTAGGAAAATCCAGATTAAGCAGTTAATCAGATTAACCCTAAACCTAAACAAATTTACTTTCTGTGAACGTTCTGAATCGTGAAAGCTGAAAAAAATGTGTTCTTTCAAATTTAGTCACAAAATGTCTCAAATTCCTCTCCATTTATCGTTGTTTTAGTATTGATCTTGTTGAGCTGCAATGTCAGATTCTCACTTTTGTCTCCAATACATCACAAATGAGTTTCTTCGGTTTCCAGCGTTCGGACTGGGTTCAGACGTCTCTGGGAATGTTCTGGGAGAACGATGAGAACAGACAGGAGCAGTGCAGTACGTTTTGGGAATTTGCTCATACGTCATACTCCTCTTAAGCGTGTTTCAGATTCTGTTTCTGACGAGTTAAATAATAAGATTTGACTTTAAAAATAGTCGAGGGAAGAAAAAATGCTTTTGAGCTTTGATTTTTGTTCCGTTTCTCTGATGTTTCAGGAAATTTAGAGCAAATCGCCTTTCTAGGAGTAGACTTGGCTTTTTCCTGCAGAGGTCTTGTTCACTTCTGGATTTGTTTATGGATAATTATTTATTTTTGACTTTTTGAAGCTCGCAGGATTCTGACGCCACAGAAGGTAAAACCCTGATTTCACAGATTGCACCAGTTGGTGACCGTCTGCGTCGGGAATAAAATGATTTATTCAACCGTTGTATCTGATGGAAAACACCGTCTGAAGAGTTTCGATCCAGCTGTGTGACGGGCCGACAGCAGCTGGAGAAGATCAGGGCGTGGCGGCGTAGCGGCGCCTGATTGATGCAGCCTGTCTGTCCTTGTTTCCGTCCCACAGGGATGTCCGAGTCCGAGCAGTTCCTGAAGGGGACGTCGCAGATTAAGATCCTCTGTCCCGAGGACATTGAGGGCATGAGAGTGGTGTGCAAGGTGACTATACCAACAGGCTCCGCCTCCATCATGTGACTGTTAATTTGATGCTGGCTTTGACGCTCGCTGTCATTGCAGCTGGCTCGAGAGGTCCTGGATATAGCCGCGATGATGGTGAAACCAGGAGTCACAACGGAAGAAATCGACCACGCGGTTCATCTGGTACACACACACACACACACACACACACACACACACACACACCACACACACACACACACACCAGTGTCTTCTGGTGAGTTTGTGTCCATCAGTAGCCAGACGAGGACACAAGGCTTCGTTATTTGTCTCTGTGTCTAACTTCCTGTCTCTGTCCAGGCCTGCGTAGCGAGGAACTGCTACCCCTCTCCTCTCAACTATTACAACTTCCCCAAATCCTGCTGCACCTCTATCAACGAGGTCATCTGCCACGGGATCCCGGACCGAAGGCCGCTGCAGGACGGAGACATCCTCAACGGTCAGCTCACTTCCCTTGTCCTAAAGCTGAACACGATTCCCGTTTCTGGTGCCAGGCTGGATTCTGTTTGGGAATAAGGATGTGTTTTATTAGTGAGAACGGGAGTAAACGTCTTGTCTCTGTTGACGGATGAGTGTAGCGGCGCTCTGAGTCTGTGTCGGTGGGAGTTCGGCCATTTTTATCCTATTTATGGATGTTGGCTGCGGTGACGCCGTCCGCCCGCCGCTCCCCTCAGAGCGTCTGATGGAGGACTCTTCATCACCATGTCTCTCGCCGCGTGTCTCTGACGAGACATATTGTGCCATTAACCTTTTCCAGTGCCCCCCCCCCCCCCCCCCCCCACACACACACACACACACGTTTGCACGTTTTGCTTCCCTTTCATTACGCATCACAGAATATTTTTTTCCTCCCACGCGTCGACTGACAGATCCATCTCCTCTTTACACAGTGGACATCACCGTCTACCACAACGGTTTCCATGGCGACCTTAACGAAACCTTCTTTGTTGGGGAGGTGGAGGAAGGAGCGAAGAAGCTGGTTCAGACTACGTACGAATGCCTCATGCAAGCCATCGACTCAGGTGAGCTGTCTGCTCGCCCCGACCTAGAACCGGGTTCTGGATCAGTTCTCAGGAAACGATCGACCCTAGACTAAATTAAACGATTAACGATCCATCTACAAATAGTCATTCCTCGTACTGGTCTGTCAGCATCCCAGTTTATTAAATAACTTAATGATGATGAATGAAAGAATCTGTTTTTTTTTAAACTTTTTTCTGAATGAATTCAACCAAAAACAGCAACATTTGAACGTGTTTCACCGTTTTTACTCAGTGAAGCCCGGCGTTCGCTACCGAGAGCTGGGTAACATCATACAGAAGCACGCTCAGGCTAACGGCTTCTCCGTGGTCCGGAGTTACTGCGGCCACGGCATCCACAGGCTTTTCCACACCGCTCCCAACGTGCCGCATTACGCCAGTAAGAAGCTTTTCTTTTTATTGTTAAAATGTATTTGTTATTTTAAAAAAGTTACTTTAATTCTTTTAATTTAAAAATAAGTCTTTAAATAATTGAGCTATTTCAAACATATTTTACAAACGTCTCTTATTCACAGAAGTTTACATTTTTAGTTTTATTTATCTTTTGTCATTTTTGCTCGTTTTACAGAAAACAAAGCAGTCGGAGTCATGAAGCCTGGTCACGTGTTCACCATCGAACCCATGATCTGTGAGGGTGAGTGGTGTGTGTGTGTGTGTGTGTGTGTGTGTCTACAATGGATCAGTAGAGTCCTAACCCTCTAGGGTCCGTGGACGCGTATCCGCATCCTTTGAACAGGTCTGATTTGGGACGCTGTAGCAGCAAGACTCCGCCTCCATGAGTTTCGGTTTCGGTTCAGCTTTAAAAAGGAGATTATAAACTACACCCCAGTTTTTAAATGTTGTTAATAGGCAACGTAAAAGCGGAGTTACTAAACTAAAAAACGACCTATTTTTAGACAATCTGACAACTTGTCAAAACAGCAGTTTAGTAATCCGTGAGAGGGAATGTGCTTGTGAACATAAAAAACCCACAAAAACATGAGATCCTTTTGCTGTCGGTGGAAGTCTCACACATTCAGCTGATTAAAAACTATCATTATGTAGCTGAGAGAGAGAGGACGGCCACACGAGTAACGAGATGTGTGCAAAAAGGAGCCGCTTCACGGGGAGAGGAGTGGCGCGAACGGAGTAACAACAAATAATTAGACAGATATTGACGGTAAACTTCATATTTTGGAGTGACACAGACAGATATATTGTCTCTGCAGTTTAGTAGGCGTCTATTAGGCTTATATAAAGGATGATGAGAAGGATAAATGTCCACCAGGCAGTTCAGATAGTACGGCTGTTTTTTGAACTGGAAGCAGAGGAAGCGGACGGAGACTCACAGCCGGAGTCTGAGGCAAACAGCGAGGATGTTGATGAGGATGTGGCAGATCCATCCTTCCTCATAAAAGAGTTGGGTCATGATGAGGTAGAGGATGAAGGCAGAGATGCAGCTCCTCGGAGATCCAACAAGAGGAGTGGGCGGCGCCGCGCAGCTGTCAGATCTCGACACCGCGGCGTGAGACAGCCACTCCCCACTCCAAAATGCATGTACATTATTGCCAAATTAATAAAATAAGTATAAATTCAGATAGGCTAGGTTGTCCTGAAAAAAATGATACCCCATAAGGCAATATTTATTGTTTTTATTAGAAAATACAAAAGAAAAACCAAAATGAGTCAAAAACGGTGATTTTCACCCTGAACCCCAGAGGGCTAATAATTTAAAACAAAAAATTTTTATTTACTATATTCATATTTTTTTTATAAATGTACAGTCTAGATTATCATTCTAAATTATAAAAAAAAAACATTTGTTGTAAATGTTTGTTGGTTTCACAGTAAAATAAGCAACTTTTTTCCTATTCAGATTTTATGTTTTGGAGTGATTTAAGGTTTAATATGCAACCCCTTTATGTCCAAATATAAAAAATAATTATAAATTGATAAAGTCCAGGTTGTGCTGAAAAGAGTGATACCACATATCGCCGGGGACACACCAGCCGCGGAAGCGCCGCGAAAATGGGACCGCCTTCATTCGGCGCCCTTGTTAAGCTATTCTATAGACCACATGGGCCGCTGAAGCGCCGCTGAAGCGCCGGCGCTCCAGCCCGCGCTGTGCAGCGATCATTTCGGCGTCGGCTCTATTTTTTTCGCGAGCCGCGGGTGAATCGTGTCAATTCTGGCAGGAAGTCAAACCTAGACATAAGAGGCAGGCCGGTAAAGTTAACAAAATAAAGCATTTCAAAATAAAATTCCGCAATAGTCAAATGTGTTTGTAATCAGACACTGCAGAAAAACCACACGAACACACACACACACGCACGCACGCACGCACGCACGCACGCACGCACGCACGCACGCACGCACGCACACACACACACACACACACACACACACACATCGAACTTGTGTGACCACGTGAAGGGGGGTGTGGTTTTGGGTGTCTTTTCTCCGGAGCAAACAGGACAGAGAGGCAGAAAGTCCGAGGCAAGCAGTTAAGATGGATGACTTTAAATTAATTATGGAAGCTGAGAAACACAAGGAGCTGTACAACCCCCGAAAAACACGATTATTTACGTACCCGTTACGGAAGAAACTGCTAGGATACAGCTGCAGAATTGGAGCGGGTTCCAAGAGATTCAACTGGCAGAAACAACTCTTACCATAGGTTCACACACACACACACACACACACACACACACACACACACACACACACACACACACACTCAAACGTAAAGGAAAAGAGCTGAGAAAAGGCAGAGAGGAAATGGAGGACACCAAGTGTTTAAAAGAAAAACTATACAGCTGAGCCGAGGCGCGCCTCGACTGGGGCGCGTCTGATCTGAACTGAGGAGCGGCGAGCGGCGGCCGAATTTCGTGAGCGATTCGCTTCGCGGAGCTTCCGCGGCCGGTGTGTCCCCGGCGTAAGGCAGTGGTTATGGCTTTTATTTTGGAAATACAAAGGAAAACTCTAAATCAGTCAAAAACGGCAAATTACACCCCGGACCCCAGAGGGTTAAAAACCACTCGACCCCTCACGGGATCACCGCCTGTCTTACTGAAGGTGTGATTAATTCATGGTGTGTGTGTCTCTCTCCTTCTCAGGTGGGTGGCAGGACGAGACGTGGCCCGACGGCTGGACGGCGGTGACCAGAGATGGGAAGTGGTCGGCTCAGTTTGAACACACCCTGCTGGTGACGGAGATGGGCTGTGAGATTCTGACCCGCCGCCTGGAGGAGAACGGGCGCGCTCACTTCCTGAACCAAATGTAGCCCGAACCAGTCTGGGTTAAACCGGATCGGAGCAAGTCAAGGACTGGGCTTCTCCAGACACAAACACACACACAAAAATAAACCCAGAAGAACGGCTCTGAGAGCTCTGGGATCTTCTAACTTGATACTGAAATGGAAGTACTTGAATGTGTCTTAAATAAGTCGGTGGCTTCATTAGGAAACCGTTATCCTCTGGAGGAAAAGAATTCACTACATCTGGTTCCTCTGTGACAGCAGTCACGATGGGATCTCCAAATCCGCTCAGAGAAAAATTATTTAGCTTCTTTTCCGTCGGCCTCTGCCTCACCAGAGACGGGCTGAAAAGAATCAGTGCCACGGAGGACGGGAAGGCTTCAGCTAGTTGGGCCGACGGGATTCACTCACCAGGAGCTCCGCGTTTAGCTTGTAAAGCTCCAGTTCTAAGAAACTTTAAGTCCTAAAGATCAGATCTGGAACGTCGGGAAAACTACCGTTAAATCTGATTGGCACTTTTAAAACGGTAAAAACAAAAGAAAACAAATGAATTCGGTGATCAGACAAAACGAGAGTTTCTGCCGAGGATCCCAGTCCGGCTCGACCCACCGAGGCGTCCGGTTTAGGCTCGCTAACATCCTGAATGGGGTTATTAACTTCCAGCTGACGCAGGTGGGAAGCGTTCGTGAGTCACGTTGGTCCTTTGGTTGTTTCTTACGTCTCCAGAGTAGCAGTTTGAGCCTTAAATGTGAATCCTGGAACTAAAGCTGCAGCCCGGTGCCATCACCCTGGCGTGTGTGTGTGTGTGTGTTAACGTGTGTGTACGTGTGTGTGGGGGTGTTCCTCGTTTCTACAGCTTCAGAGAACCATGGCGATCACATCTCTCTGCGTCTTTGTACTGCTTCTATGGGAGTGATAAACGACTCCTGCAGCTGTGTGGGTGACTTTGTCCTTGACCGGATCAGCGAGCAGAATCCAGAACCGGGCTCGAAGGACAGTGATCAAGCCAGCGTCTGACACGATTTCACTCTGATGTCGCTGTACTGTATCAGTAAGACGTTGCTTCTGTTGGCTTCCCAGACGCGACTCCTCTGTGTTCATGACTGCGATGCTGTGGAGCTGCTAATAAAAACTTGTGTGCTACGATTTGATTCTGCTGTCCTGTTTCAGAGTTCAAGCTGGGAAACGGCTAGATTCAGTCACGTCTACAGGTTGTTCATGTATTTCCACAGATGTCATGTTAGCAGAGTTAGGAAATATCGGAGAACGTTCTGGGAGCGAACGGGTTAGGGTTAGCTAGAACTTGTCTGCATGTGAAATTTAAATGCGCCATAGACTCATTAGGTCACCACTGTAACCACCATTGTCTCTGAAGGTCACCATGGTAACAACAAGCATCTAATCAGGTCACTGTTGCAACCACCGTCTTCATTAGGTCACTATGGTTACAGTACAGTCTCATTGCATTACCATGGCAACAGCTAGTGTCTCAGGTCTTTGGCAACCACCTGTGACACATTAGCTCACCATGGCAACCATAGGTAACATGTAGGGTCTCACTGGGCCACTGTAACCTTGGTCTGTTCGGTCACTATGGTAACCAGACATGACATATTAGGTCACTATTGTATAGTGTCTCATTAGGTCACATTAGGTGACAATCTGTCACCATGGTGACCACAATTCCTGATGCTGTTCTGTGTTTTCTGGAGCTCCAGGATAAAAAGTGAATGAAAAATGATGACAGATGAGAACAGAGCGGCAGACGGCCTTCATCACCATCGACAGACGAAGAGGAGAAATGAATTTATTCTGGTTCCACAGCGTCAGCTGCTGGGAAACATGGCTGCTGACGTGTTAAAGTCAGCAAAGCAGTGAACAATTTCAGTCTCTGTGGTCTGAAAGGATCCGACTCAGCAGATTCCTCCACAGAGGATTCAAACCAGCAGCCTGTTTGGAGGGGTGGGGGAACATCAGCTCAGATCAAACGATGCTTCTGAATAAATCTGCTATTTTCTTTCACAATGTTCTCGTGTGTGTGTGTGTGTGTGTGTGATCAAGGAAGAATGCAGCCCAGAAACAGCCTGACAGAAATAAACCAGGATGATGCAGACAGGCTCTCCTGTCTGCTGTGTTCAACAGAGGGCAGCAGCTAGCAGCTAAACCCACAACATTACCCAGAATGCATCAGCTCAGCCAGCTGGGATCATTCATCTGGTTTCTTCATGTCAGTGAGAGTCATCACCATCCTCGCACTTCTGCTGGAACAAACGTCTGATTTTTTATCTAGCAGAGCAAGATTTGAACTTTGTAATATAAGGAAAATACATTTGATAATTATTATAACTGACTTCCACAAACTTGTTTGTGCTGCAGCTTCATCATTCGTGGTCTCCAGTAAGGTCGACCTTAAAGTCATAAACACAAACAGATTTATTCATCTCAGCCTCCTGCAGCATTTCGGAGCCAAAAAGAATCTTTCATGTAATTTAATGAACAAATTTTGTGACTTTTGTCTAACATCAAACAGGATTTATGTTCGTAAGGAGCACGAACGGTAGCAGGACCGGGTTGTTTCTGAACTCTCACAGCTGCTGCTGTAAAGATTTTCTGCTTGATTAGCTGTCAGAAACCAAGAAAGGTTGATTTCATTTACTGAAACAAGATAGTCAGCTGAACTTTGACCTTTTGGTCTTCCCTCTTTTATGTTACAACAGCAAACAAAATAAAGGAGGAACTTTTAAACACTTCCTTAAAACACCCGACTGACCAATGAGAAGCGAGTTCCTTAACTCCAGACAATCAAAAGCTTTTCCTTCATAAACAAAATGTCCAAATTCACATTTAAAGAGACAATGTGTAGTTTTTAATCATTAATTTCTGAAAATATCCATCAAAATGTTGTTAAAATGAATGGAATGACGCCCAGTTGTTGAAAAATATTGGCAGCTTCGTGACATATAACATATATAATATAAAAATCAGGCCTAAAATATGTCGGCGTGGGTCTAAGTCTCTAGGCGACGCCATATTAGATGCCATGTTTCCTTCTACGGGAGCCTGTGAGGACAAAATGCATTTACTGATTTGTAACAAATGATTACGAAACTTTCATCATTCTTAAACGTTGTTGTTTTACACATTTACCTCTTCACTTGTTGCCAGTGATGTCTGGTGTGCTTGCCATGTTGCTTAAGTTTGCAGTACCCAGGGCTTTTTGACCCTAATGGGCATCTGTTTGTAAGGTCTTAGTAAAACACAAAAATACTGCTTGCTTGCAACGATTTATGTATCTACTGCCTCCCATCGCCAGGTAAAATACACACTGTCACTTTAAAGATTGTTTTATTTTAGATTTAGAATAATCAAGATTAGTTAGGTCTTTCTAAGCTTTTCAAAACACAAGCTTCTCAGAAGATATATTAGCATCCATCATTGCCTGTGTGTGATAAACTCGACAACAGCCATCAGACAATTAGATTTTTGACGTTATTATCCATAAGTATGGCCATTTTCTGCAGGACAAAAAACCCAGAAATAACCCTGATGCAGGTTTTCTCTTCCGAATACTTGCACGACTGCAAACGCAGCAGGAGAACGAGATTCTATAAAAGTTCCTGTTTGATTGGATGTCTGACTGAAGTAGAGCTGAAAGAGGCTTTGTTACAGGTGGAGCTCTCTGATTGGCAGAAAAGCTTCTGTGCTGAGTTTTATGGGTCAGGGCAATGAAATAAAGACATTGGTTTTACTTGAGTGGAGTTTTGAGGGTCAAAGGTCAAACTTTGTGTTCCCTCTCCAGAACCAGGGCCAAGTCAAGGCATTAGAGGCTGAAGGCAAAATGGATTTGGAGAAAAGAATAAGATAGTTAAATGCACTTTAATTCCTCTTTAAAAACAAAACTATTAATAATTTTACCGTGTTTTGGAAGAAGGTTTTGAGTCTAAACTCCATCAAAGAGATTTCCCACCAACTTTTAGTTTAGTATCAGCGTTTTCTTCTGTTTCACTTCAGGTTATATCAGACTGAACATATAAGAAGAGCTGCCTTATCCTCAGAATGTTTAGAGATGAACTTTTATACAGTCACTTTTGTATTTTCCTGTAATATTTTTCTCTTTATCACAAAGTCTTCTAAGATGCAGACAGAAAGTCTGCTGGGACACCGGGCAGAGAAATTAAATCACCGACCGCCAGGTTAAACAAACACAGAGTAATTACTCTGGTCTGAACAAATTTGAAATCAGTATTAGATGTCAGAGCTGTGGACAGGTGGGCCATAAAAGCAGACAACAGACGTGAAATCTTTTATTACGTTGTGTCACAGCGTTGGCTTCTTATGAGCTCATCTGTACACAAATGAACAGAGTCGAATTATTCTTTCAAGCCAGCGTGTGTCAGACGATCATGACCGCTCGAATGCTGTGGAATAACAGGAAACAGGAATTTTAGTAGGTTATTAATTCTCATGGATCCACACATCAGGAAAACGATACCATTTGCTGTGTTTCATCAGCTCGATGGCGTCGTTGACTTGGTCCAACGACATCTTGTGAGTGATGAACTCATCCAGCTTCAACTTCTTGTCCATGTAAGCCTTCACCATCTTAGGAACGTCATCTCTGCCCTTAAAACCTGAACCACAAGCAAACAAAACCAGTTCAAACCGGATCCACATCAACAGCTGGTTCTGACTGTACTCATCTCACCTCCGAACAAAGAGCCCTTCCACGTGCGGCCAGAAATCAGCTGAGTGGGTCGGATCACAACGTCGTTCAGATTCGTCCAGCCAACGATAACGCTGACCCCCCAGGCCTGCACACACGACTCCAAGGCGCTGCGCTGAAAGGGAAACGGAACGGTGCTGATGTTTCTTTACACGTATGAAAAACGTCATCAAGTCTCACCATGACTTCCACGTTCCCAACACATTCCACGGAGAAGTCAACTCCTCCATTGGTCATCTCCACCAGGACTTGATGGACGGGTTTATCGTGGTCTTTGGGGTTCACGAACTCCGTGGCACCAAACACTTTGGCTTTCTCAAACTTGTCGGGGTTGACGTCGACAGCAATGATCCTCTTGGCTCCTGCAGCTTTGCAGCCCATGACTGCAGCCAAACCCACGGCTCCCAGCCCGAACACGGCACACGTGGAGCCCGGTTCCACCTGAACACAGACAACCTTCAGCCAAGGAGGGCCTGAGGCCAAATTCCAACTGCTATGGATAGTTTAAAGTTCAAACTTAATTTAGTGTTTAAGCCCAGAAAAGCTGCTTGTGAGGACATTGTGACCTCTGACCTGCAGCCCTGACCTAATCTTAAAATGATCTATTAGTGCACAGGTCACAGGCTTGTTGCTTTGCTTCTGTGATCTCATCAATGGACCGTTTGACAATTATTTCTCAACCTCATCAGAGTCTGACCTTTACCTGTGTAGCGTCATGAACGTCCTGCTCATGACCTAAAGGTCATGATCTGCTGCGTCTGCTCGAGCAGAGACATAAAGTCTCTGACAGCTAATCTACATGAGATAGTGGCCAAGGTCTTTCATGCACTCTGCTCATCTGAACTGCTTTACCAAGTGAAGACAAGAACTATTCTGATAAATACATAATCAACAACTTTGTTAATTACCAATAATAATGTGAGCCCTCTGTTCAATCAATCTGTGAAATGACAATGTTATTACTTGATGTTATAATCCTGTGATCAGTAGTATTTTACAAGTAATTATAATCTTGGACGTTTGCACTAGACACTGATGACACGTAATGCTAAAGCCACACAACACATTTCCTTTTGTCTGATCCAATCAGAACCTTCGTTTCTGGCTGGGCGTGGTTTTCTGTGGTGTTTGTATAAACCCTCTTTGTCAAATTCTGATTCGCCAGTAAACCAAAATATGACATTTATAAAAACTATCCCACGCCACCTTTTCTTGAGTTCAAGCGTTCTAGAGAAGTCTCGGACCGGCCATCCGGACTTCCTCTTCAGCCATAAAGAACCTCGACAAGCTGGATAAAATCTGTTGCAAGTTACACCTGACCGCAACGGTTCCTTCAGAATAAAAGCTGAACCTCACGACCCCTTCAGGGTCTCGGAGACGCCAATGATAACCTGTCGTGACCTGGAAGCATTCCAAGACTAGATTGGTCGGCACCGCTGCTTTTCTACCGGCTTCGGTACCAAAGAGGGTCCAAGAGGACCTCGACATTCTAGATCTAAACTGAGGCTTCCCCTGGGGTACGTAGACCGACAGATGGCGTTTCATGTGTGTTATAAATCTCCTACTAAAGCTTAGAGCGAAACATTCACTCCCACTCAGAACTAACTGCTTCTCCGGATCCGCTGGTTCTGATAATAACACTCCACACACACACACACCATCATCATTCATCACATCTCACTCCACCTTAGTCCATCGGTACACAGAGTGTTAAAGTTAGTCTTGTTTAAATTGTGTAGAAATAAATTTCTTAACTATTTTAAACCCGACTCTCTCTCTTTCCTTGGAGTTAACACGACGTGTCGCTTAATCCCTGCAATAAAAAGTTCCGATCTTCTGGTTAAAATAGTCAAAGATCCATCAGATTGATATTTCACAATTCTATGGAATCTCACATTTTATGGTTCATAAATAAGATATAAACGACTCATTCTTTACACCTGGACAGAACCAATAAACCATAATTCTAGCATACACACCTTAGCAGTATTAACTGCTGCTCCATAGCCCGTGCAGACCCCACAGCCAAGGAGACAAACTTTGTCCAGAGGAGCATCGGGGTGGATCTTAGCCACAGCGATCTGGTTGATCACGGTATACTCAGAGAAGGTGCTGGTTGCTACAAACTGGTGAATCCTCTTCCCCTTACAGGTGAACCTGGATTCTACACCTGCCATCTGGTCCTGAATAACCCTGGTCCTGGACAAGAAAAATATCAAATTTAAATATTTGAGAGAGATACAGAGTGCTTCTTTAATCCTCCTGGGTTTAACGGTTAGGGTTAGAATGAAGCATCAGGTGTGGGCTCACCATGCGTGTTCACACTGGTTGGTTTTGGGACTCTTACAGAAGCGGCAATCTTTACATTGAGCAAGAAAAAGAGGAATCACCTTGTCTCCTAAAACAATAAAAACAAGCGTCAGAACAGAGAGGACAGGGAGCAGCCTCTGTGGGCCTCCACCAATCACCAGTTACCCTGCAAACAGTCAACATCGCATGGACGTGCTGATCATGTCTATATAGAGTCTGTCGGCCCAGACCATGTCTGTAGGATGTCCAAACTCGGTCTTTGCACAGTGGGTAGGTTTATTTGATTGGTGATGGTAGCATTCAGTATCAACATAAGGAATTGACATGGTCTGCAGCTAGTTTGTTGAATGCTCTTGGCACCGACCTGGCTGGAATTCCGTGACTCCAGGACCCACGCTCTCCACAATGCCGGCAGCCTCGTGTCCGAGGACTGTTGGGAAGCCATCTTTGTGCCTGCTCTCCAGTAGGTGGTACAGGTCTGTGTGGCACACTGCAGTCGCCACAATCTGTTGGGGAAAAAAAGTTGGATCTGGTGTTCCATTTCAAGCAGGAAAACTTAATCGGGAAGGCTACCTTAATGCGGATCTCGCCGGCCTGCGGGGGAGCCACCTCAATCTCCTCAATAACCAGAGGCTTGTTGGGCTCCCAGGCTACTGCTGCCTTACACCTGATGACCTGAAGAGCAGCAAAAGCCAAACTGATGATCAAATATGATGTGACCAGTTTTACAAAACCACCAAGTTACACTAACCGTAAAGAATGATGAATAGATTATGTGCAGTGTGTGCTGGTATTGATACTGCAGTTTGTACGTTTTGTTTCACTATTATCTTTTAAAATTTCCCACAGGTACAGTAAAGCTTTCCTATTGTATCATATCATAATGTATTGTGTTGAAATGTTATTATTGTATTGGTATAAAGTTAAAAGTGCATCTAACTCGCAGTCATTGATGCACACACACACACACACACACACACACACACACACACACACACACATATATATATATACATACATATATATATATATATATATATATATATATATATATATATATATATATATATACATACATACATTAGTTGGTTGTGTATGTAATTCAGCTATACTATGTAGATTTTAATGGGCAATGTATATCTTTATGATAACGTTATATTGACCGATTTCTTGATGTATTTGTTTATATTTTTATTTTTGACCTTTAGTCTAGTATTTTAGCACTTACTCGTTTTCACTTTTAACTTGTATTTGTTTAATTGGTTGATTGATTTTTAAGTTTAACTTGCTGAGGACTGTTTTATCTGTATTAATCTGTAGCAATTTCTGTAAAGCGACCTTGAGAGTCCTGAAAGGTGCTACAAATAAAATTTATTAGTATTATTATTGTTTGTTCGGTCCTACAGATCTGTTGCTTCTGACATGATGATTGATCTTTGGCCAGCCTTAAACAAACCGCTTTAAAGCAACGTCTACCCTCTCGATGGGATTTTAATCCCAAAAACCCTGATGGGAAACAGTAATTGGTTAACTGGAGGGTAAATCTCATGCAAAGAAACAAACTCAGTAATTGGAAGCAAAAATAACCCTGAAGCCTGAAGCACATCAGGCTTTTTCAGGTTTTTCAGATACGCTCTACCATGGAGGTCTGGTATTCAGGTCTGGTATACTGATTCATCACTGCCCTCTCACGTTGGATGGTCTGCTTTGTGCTTTTGCAGATAAATCACAGTCAGGGGCGGATGTAGGACTGAAGAAGATCCGGGGCTTCAGCCCAAGTAGCCGGGCCTAACGCCGCCCCTGATCACAGTCATGTTCTTATTAAAGAAAATATTTGTTTAATTTCTTCCACCAGATAATAAGAAACTTGCAGGAGACTGCTGCACGTGTTCACTCGACTCTTTCCTTCTGAACGCACAGAGGGCTCAAACTGAGTTCTGGAGCAAAGCATTTAAAGATGCTGCCCTTTATTCATGTTATCAGCTCCAAAACCAGCTGTTCCTGAAGGAGATCACCTCACCGAGTAAAGTGAAACAGTCATTAAACATTTTAGATACTCAAACACTTGGAAGTGAATGCTGTGACTCGTGAGTCTGCCGTATGACTCGATTCCTTTTTGCTAAGAATTACTGACCACCTTCATGTCCTTTTTGTTTTTCTGTGATGTGTGAACTGTGCTGTGTGTGGTTTGTGCTGTGCTGATTGAGCTGCTGACTCTCGGCCAGGACCTTCTTGTAAATGAGAGTTTTAATCTCGAGTGTCTTTCCTGGTTTATGGAGGTTTCAATACATAATAAAATAAAATAGATGGGAGGACGACCTAAACAACAGACAGACTTTAGGCTCGTCTGATCAACATTTCAGCTCAGAACTTCACTGAAGCAAACAGGCCTCATAGTAGCAAGCCCCTTATGAAGGCCGACACCCTACACACACCTGATACACGCACACCTGTGTAAATGAACTAATCATCTCCTATCAGGTTAAAAAATTCCCTCAATAAAATCCCAAATTATAAAAGTTCAATTAAATCTGAGGAAAGAACATCTGGTGGTTATTTATTTTCACTTAAAAGAACTGTTTTATAGACAGTTTCATCCTTATTAGTTCAGTCACCAGCAGGTGTGTGTGTGTGTGTGTGTGTGTGTGTGTGTGTGTATGTGTGTGTGTGTGTGTGCCCGGTGTCTTTTGGAAGCCTGAAAAGTGTTCCCTTATCGGCAAAAAAGTCTAAATTGTTGATTTACTGGATCTGATCTGTGCTCCACTTAATGAAAGAAATCAGTGATTAAAAAACATTTTGAACTAATACAATCTTTAATTATATATTATAATATTGTTTATCATAATAATATTTTTCACAGACTGTTTGGCTCTATTTGTCGGTTTGTGATATTGATAAATGTTATATATATTATGAATTGAGCAGGGAATGACCCCGAGTCAGTAACGACAGGTGGCTCTGGATCTGGGGATGATTGTCCCCGGATGGGGGTCTGAGCTGGGCCGTGGGGGACTGGGTCCTGGCTTATATGCTGCCGATGGCATGGACCTTTGGTGGACCTTTGTTAACCCTTAACTGACAGGAATACTTCTACTCTATCACAGGGAAGGGGAAGATCCAATTCTGCCTGGGTGTCTGATGTCTCATGTAGTTTGGAGTATTTAATTCGCCAGTTAAACATTACATCAACCACATTCCATGAAAATGCACACTTTGGGCCTTGAGGAGAAAACAGTCAACAGCACCTGGAGGGGGGATCTGTTCACTCAGCCTCGCCTCTGGTGCTGCTGCCCACTTCCAGTTTTAAGATGCATAGAGACTATTGGTTCTAGGGTTGTGTGCTGATACCAGTTGGTGTAGGCCAGAGGGTCCCATCCCCCCACCTGTATTAAATGCACTCCATAACAACGTACATCAGCAGCACAGGTTTGGGTCTGGGATAGTGGATCACTTTACCTTGCATTGGGCAACTCGCTCACGTTGGCCCAGTAAGAAGGGGACCATCTCCTGGGTACAGGAATGGTTGTGCCATTTGTGAAGCAACACCTGGACCAGAGTGTGCAGGGTGTGTATGGGGAGTGTGAGCGAGTGTAAAGCCTAATTTACCCTTCTCCATCAGCTCCGCGAGGGAGAGACGCGCACGCATTGACAGAGACGTTTTGCTTTCAGTCTTCTCCGTCAACTGGGGATTGTTGCGAAACAAATCCCCGCCAGGACAACAGAGGCGTAGTGCTAATCTGAGGTATCCTGCCACTATTGCAGTCACGTATCCGGTCCACAATTTGCTGTTGTGTTTACGTTGTTTTAATGTATTTCAGAGACTTTTTTAACACAGACAAATTTGTCCCTCATTCCTCTTCACGCGATCGGCACCTCTAAACCCAAGTTTCTCGTATTTTCCGTCCATGAATAAAACGCCTGCTGCACATCTTCGTACTCCTTCAGTTACAGGTAAATAAACTTTCATGTTTTCAGACTTTTCCACGATGCGTTTTTAAATCTGTTTCGTGTCTGCCGCTAAATATCTTTTTGTTGAAGCGGCAAAGACGGTGCTGACGACGAATGAAAACAGGAAGCAGCTTCCTGAACAGTCACAAGCTTGTGGTCTCCGTCTCTTTCGGCAGATAGTTAAAATTTGGGGCATGTGTCTGTCAGCCTCCGCAAGCCCGTCCGAGAGCCCTAGCGCCGACGCTAAATGGTGCAGCGTGTCTCCGTACCGACGCAGGCAGAGAAGCATAAATCAGACGACGTGTATTGTTGTATGTCTTTAGGTTGGATATGTTTATGTGTGAGAATGAGGGAGGGAGTGTGTTTGTGTGTGTGTGTATATCTGTCAGGTAGGGTCCTTGGCTCCTATCCTCTCCTAGGACATCTTGTGGCACTACAACATCTTTGGCCTATTCCCCCCGCCACATTTCCTGCTGGTGGGTGGTGCTTCGGTCTGCTTGCATATTTTAAGCTCTAGTGTCTGGGGCTGGGTGTTGTGGCATCTGCCCGCTCGCTGCTGGTGGCTGCCTGGTGGGGCCTGGGCCCTATGGCTGTATTGGGCCTCCGCTATGGTCTGGGCACTCTTAGGTCTTGGGCCGCTGAGTTCCAAGCTCAGCCTGCCCTGGTGTGGGCATCTGCGGGTCGGACCTGCCCGCTCGCTGCTGGTGGCTGCCTGGTGGGGCCTGGGCCCTATGGCTGTATTGGGCCTCCGCTATGGTCTGGGCACTCTTAGGTCTTGGGCCGCTGAGTTCCAAGCTCAGCCTGCCCTGGTGTGGGCATCTGCGGGTCGGACCTAGAGGTTTGTCGTTATGAACTCCTGAGCCTCTGGCATGGCTGCTGGTTGGCTTCCCCGGGGAGCTCTTCTGCATCTCTCAAGGGGGTGGTGGTTGGGTTGCGCTCTGGCGGTGGTGTCCTCTGAGGTGTTCATGCTCCGGAGGCACCTCTGGATGTCTGGAGGTTGTATTTCCATCTTCCACGGGTCTTGGGGCAGGTCTGTGGTCCCTCACACTCACTATTAAAAACCCCTGTGGAGAAACCTTACATATACGCACACCGGTGCTCACATGGTGCTCTCACAAGTATGGACTCAGGTGTTTTTGACACATTACCTTGGGCTGTGGTTGGCACTAAATGCACCATGAATTAATTCGTACCGTGTGCTTTTCAGCTAACATTGCTACTGTTATGTATCCTGTTGTTTGGTGCAGTGATATCTCACTTCTGTTTTATTTTTGTGTATCCCTGTTTTTTCTCTCTCTCTTTCTGCAAGTCTAGAAGCGAATTTGTGTACATCCTTTATTGTTTATTTTTATGACCTTTCCCTTGCACCCCCCACTTCTGTTTCTTTTCTGTCTCCTTGTTCATTGGGATTAAAAACAATCAAATGCATCTCTAATAAAGTTTTGATATAAGGTGGGGCATCGTAGCTGAATCTATAACGCTCCATCTGCAAGAGTGAAACTGTAAGGCTCGTTTTCGGTGTTCAGACATCAATTCTGATTGCTCTACAGCCGGACAGGACACGAGGGAAAAAGTAATGAAATATTTAAAGTCTTGTTTTCTTGCCTCCAACGGCCCAGAGGAGAGTGAAGCAACAGTTTAGAGTTCAGCTCAACTTTTATTGTTGCAATAAATGTTGCACAAAAGCCCCTGAAGAAATATTGCTCAGATTTAATCAGTTAGCACAGACCGGCACCAATTCTCAGAGTTGAACTCCCCACTGAACACCAAGAATAACGTTTAAAACCCAAAGTAGAGCTTCACTGAGAGGAGAAAGAAGGCGCACGGATAACCATCTTTGTTACGTCAGAGAAAGCTCTTAGAAAACTCTTAGTGATAGTCAGACGTTGCACAACACTGAGGATAACGTTTATCCTGACAACATGAGTTCACATACCTTCCCAGCTGTGTTCATTTTGGTTCCAATAACAATAAATCCAGAGAGTGGAGAAAGCTTCAGCTGCAGGACAAGAATGGAGAGAAAACTCTGAGCCAGGCAGTTTGACAGAAACGGGCGTGGACTTTATTCCCCAGCTGTTATCTGTTCCTTAAGCCATCACACACCTACTGCAGCACGAGGGGACATGAACGAACCAGAGACAACACGACCAGCGTCCAACTTCTACAGCATCTGGGTCTGGTTTGACAGATGTTAGTGAAAGATGCAGTCATTACCACACCATTCAGTTAAAAACACCCAAATAAAACTGTAGAAGCTAGAAAGAATGTGCATACATTTAAGTAACGCTAATCTGATGTGATTTTGTGTTAAAATGATGAATGTTTCCTATCTTACCTGTTGTAGATAAACTTCTTGAAGAGCCTCTATTCACAGTAATACATTTTTTGTCTTTTAGGACTGATGAGCCAACAGCTAGTGTATCTATACTGTCCCCAAATGGCTCAGATTTCCTAAAAGTCACAGCAGTAAATGAGACGGGATTTTATGAACATCGGAATCTGCAAAGTATGAAGGCAAAGGCCATGATGACACAGCCACAGGTGTGGTTACCATGGTTACCCCAACGAGCCACAGGTGGTCACCGCGTTTACAGTAGTAAGCCACAGGTGGTTACCGTGGTAACCATTTTGTATCACTGACAGTAACTTTAACATTTCTGTCCCCCTTGTTTCTTGCTACACTTCTACAGTTTAGACATCATAAGCTGACGTTTTGTTTTTGCTCAGAGTTTTATTTAAAGAGTAAGTCACCCCATACCAGAGTCTTAATCCACTCCCACTTCCTGTTTGAAAAATGGAACAAACGCTAATGCCTGGCAGACCAAGAGGGGGCGGAATCGCTAACAAATACACACACAGGCTCACAAAGACATTGTGACATCATATGGTACCAGCTAACGTCACAGTGTACCTCTTAGCCAACAGTGGTGGCAGATTTAAATTCAAATGCAGTGTAGAGTTTTACATGAAGATGGTGCAACACTGTCAGTTTTAGGCAAAATATTAAAATTTCAACTAAGATGCACTAAAGTGCCAAATTATTGATTACACATGTCTACAGCAGGATTAGACACTCATTTATAGTTTATCAGCAAAAAAAAGTTGATTTGGGGGTGACTTGCTCTTTAAGTTAATCAGAAATGTGAATGAACTGTAGAAGAGAGTTGATGCCTGTTGGAGTTTTAGGCAGAAGCTTAATCAGCAACCAGTAACACATTTAAATGCCTTCATATTTTCCTTCAAGTGGTTTTGATCAGTGGTTCTTCAGAGCTTCTGAAGGTTCCTCGGTTCACGTTAATCACTGTTCAGGGACAAACCAGGATGGTTTCCAAGAACTTGAAACTGAATGTTTTAAATAAATGGCTGTTTCAATAATTAATGTAAACATCCACACAGAAACTACCACTCATCTGAAAATATTCTCTTCATGTTTGAACTCATTAAAGAGCAGTTTGTTCATTCTGTTTATGTAAAAATGACCCCAAATGCTTTTAATTTAAATTATTTATGTAATTAAATCTTTCCACATGTGGTCATCAGAGAATCACATTAAACATCTTCTGGAGGTTTGATTCGGATCCAGTGTTTAACATCCTGAGAGGCGGCTTCATGCTGGAGAAACGCTCAGAACGGTCCGTATGCTGCAGGAATATAAAAACACAGATTAGGAGCTCTGTAGGGATCAGAGCGGATTGTTGATAACAGGTGTTGGAGTGGATACCTTTTGCCATTCTTCAGCAGCTCAATGGCCTCGTTGACTTGATTTAAACTCATCCTGTGAGTGATGAACTCATCCAGCTTCACCTTCTTGTCCATGTAGGCTTTCACCATCTCAGGAACACCGGTTTTGCCCTTAAAGCCTGAGACATAGAGAACAGGAAAACTGTCACTTCCTGTCCTTACCCCAGCCTTCCACGTGATGCATCAGCGGTGCAAAACACAATAGACATGTTTTATCCACAAGCTCCCTTCCCACCCGGAGCGCTTCAGATGCAAAATGGTAGCGAAAGGGTTCTATGTAGCTGGTCCCGCAAAGTCCCAAAGTAGCCAGAGAATTGTGAACTCAAGCGTGATTTCAGATGAAAAGAAGAACGGAGAAAGACGGCAGTATGTATTCAAAAGGTCTGAGGTGTATCCTCTGTTTACCTCCGCTACGGAGGTTTCACAGATAATGACATATTTCTTCTAGTTAAGGAGCTGGAAATCTGCACATACATTTTAATTTGAAAGTTTTTGAATATTTTCCACTGCTTTTGTGTTTGACTTCCTGTCTGGCTTGATCTGAACTGCTAAGCTTGGCACAATCTGGAAGCATAGCACATAAAATAGACTTGATGCATAAGCAATGCATCGCATCCCATCACCTTCGCAGCTCTTCTTGGTCGGTGGAAAGGCACCAATCCACTATAACAGCAGCTAATTGGTGCGTACCAAGCTAAGCGGACTTTGCACAAAGCTTAAGTGTCCAGTGGAAAGGCCCGGTTAAGATCTTGTGTTTGTAGCCCACCTCCAAACAGGGTCCCCTTCCATGTTCGTCCAGTCATGAGCTGAATGGGTCGAGCGCTAAAGTCCTGCAGGTCCGTCCAGCCAACAATCACACTCACGCCCCAGGCAGGGCTGCACGACTCTAAGGCACTACGCTGAGAGGAGAAAACACACAATGTCAGAAGACTTTTAACGTTCTTAAATACGTACAAAACTCTACCACATCTCACCATGACTTCCACATTTCCGACGCATTCCAGGGAGCAGTCCACTCCTCCTTTCGTCATCTCCATGAGCACCTGGCTGATGGGTTTATCGTGATCTTTGGGGTTCACGAACTCCGTGGCACCTAATACTTTGGCTTTCTCAAACTTGTCGGGGTTGATGTCGACAGCAATGATTCTCTTGGCTCCTGCAGCTTTGCATCCCATGACTGCAGCAAAACCCACGGCTCCCAGTCCAAACACGGCACACGTGGAACCCGGTTCCACCTAAACAGAAGGAACTTTAAGCCAGCGCGAACCTGAGGAGGTGGCACTGGCCTCCATTAGTCCTGGTGTTACCGGTGTACTCGGAGAAGGTGCTGGTTCCCATGAACTGCAGAACCTTCTTCCCCTTACAGGTGATCCTGGAGCTTGTCATGTCAAACTGAACAGGGTTTCTGAGGAGAAGATTTTAATGTCAAATGTTAAAGATTAACGGCTGGTGGGCATCAGGCGTTTCTGTAGAGGACATCCGTACCGGTTAGCACACAGGTTGGTCTTGGGACTCTTGCAGAGAGGACATTCCTGACAATTAATCGTGAACAAGGGGATGACCTTGTCCCCTACAGGGAAAAAAAAACATGTGTTTTATATTTTCAGTGAGAAGTTTGTTTTAGTTTGGGTTTAGTGATAGTTCAACAGACCAGGCTGAAACTCGGTGACACCAGGACCAACACTCTCCACTATCCCGGCTCCCTCGTGTCCCAGAACCACCGGGTAAATGTTCTTGCTGGTGTCTTTGTACAGGAAGTACAGGTCTGACTGGCACAGACCTGTAGCCACAACCTGCAGAGAAAACCACAAACAAAATGAAAAGAATATTATTTTACTGGCCTTCTCCTCTTGGTAGATTTAATGGTTTCATGGGTTTGTCCGTGGAATTCCAGCCTACCAGTGGGTGTAAGAGCTGATCCCAAAATTGATATCTAATATTGAAATCCTGACTATAATTAATGTATTATTTAAATGTGAATACTTGTTTTCCAAACCAATGAACTTTGGGGAACATAAAATCTAAACATATCAGAAAAAGACCCTGACCTTGATCCGGACCTCCTCCTTCTGAGGGGGATCCACCTCCACCTCCTCCATCACCAGAGGCTGTTTGGACCCCCAGACCACTGCCGCCTTACACCTGATGACCTGCAGACGAAGTGAAAACACTCAGGGGTCAGAATTGGGTCATTCTTGAGTTTGTTCAAATTTAATTAGTGAAAGCTGCAAAGAGAAATCTGCAAAGCAAGTTGGCTTTTAAACACAAACATGGTCACGGAACAGTCACCCCTCTCATCGGCTAGCATTTGCCTAATACCAGAACCTGCATTGCCAGAGGAAACGGGATAGTGTTAAACACCAGTCGCCGTTTTCTGCGTTGTTGTCCATGACTTCAAATGGTGCTTTACTCTTTGGGTCTCCATTGTTTTTGGTTTTTTTCTTGCTTAATACACAACAATTCTGTCAACACAGAGATGGCAACTGTGTGGGCCTTGGGGGCTGGTATCCAGCATGTTTTAGTGGTTTCTCTGGCCCAACACACTTGATTCAGTGGTTGAATCACCTGTGCAGCAGCTCATCAGGCTCTGCAGAAGTCTGTTAATCACCTACTAATTAAAATCCGGTGTGTTGAAGCAGGGTTAAAACTAACATGCTGGATACCGGCCCTAGAGGCCTGGAATTGAATAGCCCTGCTGTAAAGGGTCGTTTTAGCACATACTGCGTCAAGAAAATTATTTAAAAATATCAAAACGTTGCAAAGTATTCCTTTGAATAGTTTTTTACATACATATTTTGCTAATATTTATTTTTATTTTTAAAACTGTTTAGAAAATTTCATAATCTTTGAAACCAGGTGGAGTTCCTTTTCATTTTTTCTGTATTAATCCATGTTTAAGTCTAACACTCTTATATCTGTCCATCCTTCTATCCAGGCGGCCTTGAGGGTTGGGGGTGGTGTCATCAGATCTTCAGACCCATCTCCATCTTATCCCTCCTCATCCAGCTCATCCTGAGGAACTCTGAGGCATTCTCAGACCAGATGTGAGCTATAATCTCTACTGTGAGTCCTGGATCTTCTCCCAGTGTCTGAAACTTCTCCTTTGGATGGTGTCTGTTGGGTATTTTTATAATTGTACCTTTTTGAGGCCTAAAATATGCCCAATTTGTGTTATTAACACTTCATGAATCTCTGTGTCTGCCAACTGTGGCTGTTCATGTAAGGTTGAGCAGAGAAGCTTATTTGCAGTCAAGGATGTTGATTCCAACCAAACCTCTGTACCTCTGTAACCTGAGAAGGCCCCGCCTTCTCCTCCACCTTTGCTGAATAAAGCCCCTGGGAAACTGAGGAGACTTGGGAGTGATGGGGGAAAAGCCTTGGAGGAGGTTTTTCCCTGCGTTAACTCTCCTTTATTTTGGGGACTCAGGGTAAAATGTCTTCCTTGTTGTCATGAGTGTTATTTCAGGTTCCAGGGTTATGGAGATTAAATATTGCCTAACATTAAATATTACCCAACATCTTGGTGGAGAATGCGGGCATGCAGAGCTGGTGAGCTGAAGGCTTTCCTCAGGAATAGAGGGGGGCTGGTTAGCTCCATGGAGGGGTTTCTGCACCCAGCTCTCGCATGACGATTCATGGACATTACGAATAATCTATTCTCTCTCTCTGTGTGTGTCGTCCTTTAAGGTAATATGGGATAAATCTAAAATTACCTATCAGTGTCCATAAGGTGTCCTCACCAGATGTCCACTGGTTCAGCAGCCCAATGTAGATGCAGCTTTAAGCATCTGATTTTATATTTCATGTGCATGATAAAATGGGAAGTAACAATTGGGGGCTTGTCCAGGATATTTAAGCTTAGATTATTAGATGTGGGCTTAATAAACTCAGCAGGTTTCAGCTTTGTGCGTCAGCTGTTGTTTTATTATTTAGTTAGAAAAGAAATAATGTAAAGTATCAAAAGTCACCAATGGCTGTGGCTTCTGGAAACTTTAACTATAAAGATAAAAAAACTGTAAAAAAAAGCAGCAAGTTTTATTTCACGTTTATCTTTAAAGACAACCTTGTAAAGAGTTCATTTAATTAGCCTGAACTCTTAATCTTTTACATTTGTACAGACTAAGTCTGACCAAAGTGCTTCTGCACAAGCAGGAGTCTGAAGTCCAAACCTACTGCAGTACTGCTGCTGCAGTGTTTGCTGCATTTGACCCACTTTGAAGGTAAATTACACTCAATTTGTGTCAAATATCTAAATTTTCTTTTATTTCTGGGCAGGATTTCCTACTTTCACATCAACAGTTTGGACAAAAATGACTATTAAACGACACAGAGAAAACACTAAATATGTTTCAGAAGAAACAACTGAAACAAAAAGTGTCAGAAAATTAAACAAAAAGGGAATCTGAGCTCACGTCAGACTCTTTTACATATTTTTACACAATAAAATATAAATAGTTGTACATATGGCCTTTGAAGAAGAAAAAGAAACACACAAAGGTGTTTTTTCCTTCTTACCTTCCCAGTTGTGGCCATTGTTTTTGCAAAAGGAAAGAGTCAGAGTCCAGAAGAGACAGATGAGGAAGCAACAGCTGCAGGACAGGAGAGTGAGATAACAGGATCCAGACAATTTAACTAGCAGGTTTAGGACTTTAGCCTGACCAAAAACCTACAAATCCACATTCCAGTTTCACTAGAGAGACACTTCAAGGTCAGCATCGTCAAATTTTAAATGAGCCGGATCATCATAAACTATAATCACCTATAATTATGGGACAATCTTGCAGATGGGAAGGAAAATGGATGCAGGAAAACTCCAGATTCACAAGCGTTATCTTATCTTTGCCTCAGCTCAGAACATTTATTTCCCTCTAGAAGACCAGGATAAGGGTGTCCATCAGCAGATATAGAAAGGTTCATGTGGACCCATCCTTCTCTCTCCAAATGAAGGAAACCCTTTTCTTTGACTTTAGTTAAACATTAGAGGTGCTGAACAAAGGTGCTGGGGGGGGGGGGGGGGGGGGGGGGGGGGGGGGACTAGTTTAAAGTAAAATAAAAAATTTCCAATAGCATTAACTAACTTGTACAACAAAGTAGTTAATCCTGGAACTGACACTCTTTGTTAATATTGATTGTGAATTGATTTAAATCGAGAATCGGAATCGAATCGAATTATGAGTTGCTCTAAGATTCACATCCCTATTGAACATATTAGCAAAAGCTGGGAAATTTTCTATAAATCTTGTAAATCACGATCTGTTTTTTTCTCTCACCTTGGTCTGACCCTCCTCCTGAGGAGGGACTTCCTCCTTGGCTTGTTGTTCTCCCAGCTACAAAACCAACTGACCTGATAATGAGCAACTGAAGACAGCTAAGTTTATTATCAATCAATAAAAGCTTTATTTATAAAGCGCCTTCCGCAACCCTGTCAGGAAGCCCAAAGCGCTGATTATTAATGTAGTTCAAACAGACCCAGGAAATTAAGATTGGAAACTCAGACGCTTTATTTGTTCAGGTGATTTATTTTGCTCCATAAACAGTTTGTTGCGTTGCACATTCGACCCGTGGATGTAAATCTCAGGTGATGCACAGCGGGTTGTCCTACATCACACATGTAAAAGTCTTCTTCTGAGTTATTGTGGAGAAACACTCAGGACCGTTCGGATGCTGCAGAATAAACAAAAAGTACAAATTAGAAGGTTTTTACTGGCTAATGTGGTTTACAGAGATGTGAAGGCGGCTTTGGGGAGGTACCATTTGCCGTGTTTCATCAGCTCAATGGCATCATTGACTTGAGCCAAAGTCATGTTGTGGGTGATGAATTCATCCAGCTTCACCTTCTGATCCAGGTAGGCTTTGACCATCTGAGGTACTCCATCCTTACTCTTGAACCCTGAGTCAGACAGTAAATGAGAGTTATGGATCAGCGGAGGTCTATTTGATCCAGATTCAAACTTTCTCCATAAACCAATTCAATTCAGTTCTATTCAAAAATACTTTATTGATCCCAGAGGGAAATTGATTAAATGTGTTGTTTCCCGTGTTCCTCATCAAACCCCAACCAACAACCTCATCGGTCTGCTTTCAGGATCCTGGTTGAGTTCTGAGTAAAATGGTGTCAATCCAAGCTAATCAGATACATCTATCCATTTTTCTTTGCCTTTCCAGAGTTGGGTCAGGGGGGCAGTAGCCTAAGCAGAAAGACCCAAACTTCCCTCTCCCCAGCCACTTGGGCCAACTCCTCCATGGGAATCCTAAAGCGTTCCCAAGCCAGCGGAGAAACAAAGTCCTTCCCTCCAACGTGTCCTAGGTCTTCCTTTGGATCTTGAATGTGCCTGGAATGCCTCACCAGAGGGACGTCCAGGAGGCATCCTAACCAGATGCCCGGGCCACCTCAACTGGCTCCTCTCGATGATAATCAGATACAACGTTCTCAAAATAACTAGCCTGGTCAGCTTTCACAAGCAGGTCTGAGTTTACCAGGTGACATCAGTTCTGCCCCACCTCCTTGAGTCCAGGACCTAGCTGCAGGTCAGTTGATGCATCCATGAGATCAATCCTTATGATCTAATCTGTGCTCGGACTTATTGTAGACAAATCATCCATCTTCAGCTTCAGAAAAGCATAGTCACGGCACACAAGATCATAAAAGTTCTCCAGAAGAGTGGTCTGCCACCAAGCAGGCCTTTGGCTGACTGGCTTCAGCTGTCCCTGCTCCTGCATGTGCAGTTCCTGCTATGGAATACTTCACTGCAGCTGCATTCCCTAAACTACAGACTAGGATTGTCTCAGAGCAGTTTGGGAAATGCAGGATGATGTTGGAGGGTCATTGAATCAATGACCAGACAATTAATTTACTTGCTCCAAGCTTAAAGGTTTTTGCTTCAAGTATGAACAAACATGAGTGGTTACAAGGGACTACCTGACTTATGTTTTTGTAGGAAGTTGTATTACCTCCAAACAGGGAGCCTTTCCATGTACGGCCGGCGATGAGGTTAATGGGTCGAGCAGAAAAGTCGTGCAAATCTGTCCAACCAACAACCACGCTGACACCCCACCCTTTCGTACAAGACTCAAGGGCACTGCGCTGTTGGAGAAGAGCAGCAATAAGAAAACTGTGTTAGGGTGTGATAAAGGATTTGACCCACTTTGGTCATCCTCACCATGACTCCCACATTCCCGACGCATTCCAGAGAGAAGTCCACTCCTCCGTCAGTTAGCTCAGCTAGCACCTGGCTGATGGGTTTGTCGTGATCTTTGGGGTTCACAAACTCCGTGGCACCAAACACTTTGGCTTTCTCAAACTTGTCGGGGTTCACGTCAACAGCGATGATCCTCTTGGCCCCTGCAAACTTGCAACCCATGACTGCTGCCAAACCTACGGCTCCCAGTCCGAACACGGCACACGTGGAGCCCGGTTCCACCTGAACAGGGGGTTGGTTTAGGTGTCTTGGAAGTCTCAATTATTTTAGGATGTCTATGGTCCAATAGTACGCACCTTAGCAGTGTTAACCGCTGCACCAAACCCGGTGCAGATCCCACAACCAAGCAGACAGACTTTATCCAGAGGAGCAGCTGGGTCGATCTTAGCCACCGCGATCTGGTTCATCACGGTATACTCGGAGAAGGTGCTGGTTCCCATAAACTGTAGAACCTTCTTCCCCTTGCAGGTGAACCTGGATTCTTCTAAGGCCATTACATCATAATGCTCAGCAGCCCTGCACACAAAAGTCTAGATGCATCCTTGATGAAGACATCCTGGTCTAATGGACACTGAACTCACCATCCTTTCTCACACTGGTTACTCTTCGGATTTTTACAAAAGCGACACTCCCGACACTGGGAGATGAAGAGGGGGATGACCTTGTCTCCTGAAATTCAAAATGATATGAGAGGAAATGATGAGAAACATGGTGGTTTTCCAGTCGTTACAGTCAAATTAGAAAGTAATGTTTGTGAGATCTGTTACTAAGGCTTAACTCACCTGGTTGAAACTCTGTGACACCAGGTCCGACGCTCTCCACTATCCCGGCTCCTTCGTGGCCCAGAACGGCTGGGAAGCCATCTTTGTGCATCCCCTCAAACAGGTGGTACAGGTCAGTGTGGCACACACCTGTGGCCACGATCTGCCCAGAAAACATACCATGAATCAGCAGTTTTCCACTTAACACCAATTCAACATTTGACCTGAGTGATTCTGGATTTAACACTAAAAGTTCATTAAAAGTATTTTGAGTTGCTCTAATGTTGCTCGTTAGCAACATCTATCAGGTAAATGTGTAGGAATGGGCCTCCTAAAGACGAAACTTCTACACTCGCCTGCCACTTTATTAGGCACACCTGTTCAAGTGTTTATAAAGCAAAAACACCTCATCAGCCAATCACATGGTAACATTTTTTCTTCTAAATGACTTGGTGAAGTTCCAACTAAGCATCACAATGGAGAAGTTATTATGAACATAGCTTGTTGGTACCAGACTGGCCTGATCTATCGGGATTTGAACCCAAAACCATCATCAGGGTCTACAAGACTAGTCAGATGGTTCGGTCTCTCTCTCTCTCTCTCTCTCTCTCTCTCTCTCTCTCTCTCTCTCTCTCTCTCTCTCTCTCTCTCTCTCTCTCTCTCTATATATATATATATATATATATATATTTACGCACACGCACACACACACACACACACACACACACACACACACACACACACACACACACACACACACACACACACACACACACACACACACACACACACACACTCACCTAAAGGATTGTTAGGAACACCATACTAATACGGTGTATTAGAGAGGATAGCATCTTGCAGCTGATGGAGATTTGTGGGATGCACATCCAGGGCACGAAGCTCCCGTTCCACCACATCCCAAAGATGCTCTATCGGGTTGAGATCTGGTGACTGTGGGGGCCGTTGTAGTACGGTGAACCCATTGTCATGTTCAAGAAACTGATTTGAAATGATTGGAGCTTCGTGACATGGTGCATTATCCTGCTGGAAGTAGCCATCAGAGGATGGGTACATGGTGGTAATGAAGGGGTGGACATGGTCAGAAACAATGCTCAGGTCGCCCGTGGCATTTAAAACATGCTTATTTGGCACTAAGGGGCCTAAAGTGTGCCAAGAAAACATCCCCCACACCATTACACCACCACCACCTGCCTGCACAGTGGTAACAAGGCATGATGGAACCATGTTCTCATCCTGTTTACGCCAAATTCTGACTCTACCATCTGAATGTCTCAACAGAAATTCAGACTCAACAGACCAGGCAACATTTTTCCAGTCTTCAACTGTCCCATTTTGGTGAGCTGGTGCAAAATGTAGCCTCTTTTTCCTATTTGTAGTGGAGATGAGTGGTACCCGGTGGGGTCTTCTGCTGTTGTAGCCCATCTGCCTCAAGGTTGTGCGTGTTGTGGCTTCACAAATGCTTTGCTGCATTCCTCAGTTGGAACGAGTGCTTCTTTCAGTCAAAATTGATTTTCCATCAGCTTGAATCAGTCGGCCCATTCTCCTCTGACCTCTTGCATCAACAAGGCATTTTGGCCCACAGGACTGCCGCATACCGGATGTTTTTTCCTTCACCATTCCTTGTAAACCCAAGAAATTGTGGGTGAAAATCCCAGTAACTGAGCAGACCGGCCCGTCTGGTACCAACAACCATACCACGCTCAAAATAGCTTAAATCACCTTTCTTTCCCATTCTGACATTCAGTTTGGAGTTAAGATTGTCTTTGCCAGGACCACACTCCTAAATGCATTGAAGCAACTGTCATGTGATTGGTTGATTAGATAATTGCATTAAGGAGAAGTCGAACGAGTGTTCCTAATAATCCTTCAGGTGAGTGTATATATACATACATAAGGCGATTTTTGCTTTTACCTTTTAGGGTTTAGCAAAACCCAAAATCTCTGTAGACTGCCTCACAAATACACTGAGACATCTAATGTGTGTGTGTGTGTGTGTGTGTGTGTGTGAGCCAACAGCCCACCTTGATCCGTATCTCTCCCGCCTGAGGTGGAGCCACTTCAATCTCCTCCATCACCAGAGGCTTGTTGGGCTCCCAGGCCACGGCTGCCTTGCACCTGATGACCTAAAGCATCAGTGACACCAGCATGAATTTCTGCGCCTGCGGTTAAATTACATCCCAGAAACGGAGCCGCCTCAATTTCCTGAAACGCTGCGAGCGTTCCGTCATCTGACAAATTTAATCTACAGGGCTGTTATGTCAAACTTGAACCACGTTTCGGGGTGCATTCTCCCAGGTGTGAAAGCGTTTAAACAGACTGATGTGAAACATTTAAACAATGTCTTAGAAAAAGCTTGTCCTATAAGAACAAAATAAAAACACATCAAAACTGATGTATGCAAAAAAACAACAACAAAGCATCGTCTGTGAGAAAGCAGACACATGCATCATAGAAACGTATTTTGTTTAAAGTCAGTTTTACTAAGAAAATCCTTAAAGGGAGCAACTTCAGCATCACAGGGTGAATTTGTGTTTGACATTTTCAGGATTCCATATTTGAATTTCTTGGCCTTTCACCACATTTTCCCTCCAGAGTTTTGCTGCCAAAACCCACAGTTGCGCAAAACTGTGGGATTAGTTTCAAACTTTGAGACGAGTCTAAACAGAAGAACTTTAGCCATGTTCTCCTGCTGCAGAAGCAAACTTTAAGCTGGTAGAATAACGATGCATTTGCAAAAATAAGATAATCAACACAAAGAATCCGATTTTTTAAAACTTTTTTCTTTCAGATTTGTTGCTTTTGCTTCACTTAAATGAACTTTATCCAACATGCAGAACATTTATGTCCAAATCAAATCATTTTATCATTTAATTAGATTTATTTTTAGTTTAAGCATGTCCTGCACGGTGAAACTGCCTAAAGTCATGCACCTACCTTTCCAGCTGTAGCCATTATTCCAGATTGAAGCAGAGTGGAGAGGACTGGACGGGAGCAGCAGGAGGCAAACGGTGAAGGATCTAAATCTGAGATTGGTTTATATACTGTAGCTGGAAACTCAGTTATGCAACTCCTCAGCTGGAGGAGGAGATTATTGCACAGATCACAGATGATCACATCCCAGGGAGAAAAACCCAAGTTTGCCTTTCAAAGACCTCAGATTATTTAATCCCAACATCCTTTGTGGTCTCGCCACGAAATTGATTTAGTAAACTTTAAAAGTTTTGATTTCTTTTTGTAGTTTTTGTTAAACTGAGAGATTGCTATCGGATTAAATCGTTCTCTACCCATTCAGAGGGTGACAAAGATTTTGTTGTTACTCCTAAAGTTGGGGTCATGACCTCGTGTTTGTGAAAGGACCTCCAGAAATGGAAGAAAAATAATGTAACACATGTTTTCAGATATTTAAGAATATAAAAAGTCAAATAGATCAAAGCAGTAAATGTTTGTGATGTTTGGGCTTAGACATTAGCTTGTGGATGAGAACACAAGAAGCTTCTTCGTCCCATGATGGTATCGAATGAGATCAAGGAAACTGCTGAAAAGATGACGGAACATTGATTAGTTTGATTCTTCAATTATTCTTTGATTTGAGACAGCCGACCCAGACTAGATGAGAGGAGAACCCAGGAGAACATCATCCCTCCTGACCTTTTACATCAGTACCTACTCAGCGCGGCACAACAGGGTTTCAAGCTATTTCCATTAGTATCGGGTATCAGGTCTCCATCATACTTTCAGTAACTGCTTCAATGTGGTTCCAAGTGAATGGAGCCCTGCTGAAAACATGACGTCAACAGCTGATTGGCTAAGGGAGTGGCGCCAGACGCAAGGCCGTCAGCATCGTCAAGGACCACATCAAACTGTTCACCCTGCTACTATTCAGCAGACGTTCCTGGGGCCTAAATGCCCGGACATCTAGATTAAACAACGGTTTCTACCATCAGGTATTCAGGAGACCCACTCACCGCCGTCTAGAGACGATCATCTGGATAAGGAACTTAAAGACCAAGCTCACTGAGAAACCGCTTTTTAGGTTCTTTTTGAAATATAATTGGTCACTCGGAGTTTCTCCTGTAGACGGAATGTGGAAACAGTCTTCTACCCCTATTTCCTGTATTAGTTGCAAATAGAAAGTAGACGGGGGCGCACTGAGCTTAGAAAAAGCCACACAGATCTACGTCACACTGTGAATCAGCATTCATGGACTCATTCATCTAGCCCCATCATGACGGGGAGGGCCGTTGTTAGTTTAGCGTCCAAGAGAGTGCAGAGCACGACTCAGCTAGTAGAAGCTAACCGTTAGCGTTAGCAACTCCACAACACGGCAGAACTCCTTCAGGCTTGTTTTTTGTGAAGATAAAACAAAAGTTGCAGAGCAAGCAGTCAGTAGTAGTCACGTTGCTGTTAGCCAATCAGAGGAAAGATGTCTGAATATCAATAGGACTAGTTTTCTACTCCCCTCTCATCTGGCTCATCTCTAGTCCCTGGAACATCAGCACCAGTTATTTCCCCCAGAGATCGACTCACAAGGCATTCATTTATACTAGAGACCACTGCATATGTGTTAGACTTGGTCTTTATTGTTTTTCTTTCTTTTATTTAAAATTGAGTGTTTCTTTCACCATGTCATCACATTTCATTGGAGAATTGGCTTGTGTTGACCTATGACTTGAGTCAGCTCCTCTAAATCTAAGTTGGAATATTGCCTCCAGGCCTAAAGTGGGAACGTTGTCTCGTTCCTGAATGATGGATGGATGGATGGAGGAGGGCTGCACCAGCATGTCAGAAACTTGTCTGCGGTAATGAGGATGGTGATCCTGCAGGAGCTGAACCAAAACACAAAAGTTCGGACCTGGTGGTCGAACTCTAACCTCCTCCATAAGGTGGCTGTAGTTCCTTCTCCTCCTCCTCACCAGGAGTCAGCTGAGGTGGTTCTACGGTCCGATTAGGACGTCTCCTCGTTGCTTCTTCGACCGAAATAAAATCCCAAAGAAGACCTCATCTTTATATCGGGTTTGGGAATATCAGAGGGATTTGGGTTTTTCAATTCTCTGGATCTTTTGGATCGACTGAACGTCTTCTCAGGAGAAACGCCGAGTCAGCAGCAGGGAATAAAAAGCCTCTTCAACACAACCGCATGTTTCAGGTAGTTTTAATGACAGTGAAGCTCTACATTAGAATATTCAGTTGTCGTGTTCCTAACAGTGCCTTCCTATTCCAGTTAGTGGTAATGAAAGGTCTACCTACTGCCAAAGACAAAATAAAAATATCAACAATCCTAGTCTGACTCCAGTCTTCTTAGAAAATATTTTATTTAAAGGCACTGGGGGTTTCAGGAAACATTTCTGACATGTTAGATATGCAAAAAATAAACTAAATGATTCAAAAAGTTGAGTTTAAACAAAGCTATAAGAATCGCCTCCTGCATCAGGCGATTCTGCCTTTATTAAATTACAGATTAAGACAAAACTGTAGAAGTTTGGCCGGAGCAGAGGTGGATTATCCTGCAGGTTATCGTTGTTTGGCTGGGTTACTGCTTCTGCAGAAGCCCGATAAACACCTAATCGTTTTAAATCAGGTGCAGCAAAGCAGGGAAACATCTAAAACCTGCAGGACAACGATCTCTGGAGACCGGGGTGGGAGGCGCTGTTCTAGGACAGAGTCCTGAGGTCAAACGGTTCAAAGGAATAAACTTCTGTGATGAGAACATTTTCATGTAGAGATGAATAAATACTGAAAAACAGGAAGAAAAGAAGCAGCGGATTAACGTGAGGACTGATGTAAGAGTGGTTTGGGCCTCAAAGGCCACCATCTTGTCTGTTATAGTTGTGTCTCTGCTTCAAAAAGTCAAAGGGCCATCAACAGCCTCTTGAAGTCACCAAACCATTGAATCAGGTGTATTGAAGCAAAGAATAATCTAAAACCAGGATCTCCAATCCTGGTCTCTGAGGACCTCTAACCATACCAAGCATGTTTTTGTTATTTTTCTGCTCCAACACACCTGGTTTAAAGGCCGAGTCACATGTTCAGCCTGTTAATCACCTGCTGAGAAACCTCTAAAACACGCAGGAGTGACTCTAGAAGACCTGAGGTTGATGCCTCTGACTCAGAGGATTATGCAGATTTTAGTTGTTCTACAAATGAATGATTTAAACAGTTTCCCCAAAAGAAATAAACATCAGAACACACGCTTGCAGAGCAGCATTCATTAGTCTGAAGGTTAACAGGTGTGTTAACCAGGCGTGTGTGTGCGCGAGTTAACAAGGATTGTTTGTGTGTGCGTGCACTTTAACCAGGTGTGTGTGCATGTTAACCAGGCATGTGTGTGTGCACAAGTTAAAAGGGCTTGTCTGTGTGTGTATGTGCATGTTAATCAGCTGTGTGTATGTGTGCATGTTAACCAGACGTGTGTGTATCTGTGTGTGTGTGTGTATGTGCATGTTAACCAGGCGTGTGTGTGCGCGAGTTAACAAGGATTGTTTGTGTGTGCGTGCACTTTAACCAGGTGTGTGTGCATGTTAACCAGGCATGTGTGTGCACAAGTTAACAGGGCTTGTCTGTGTGTGTATGTGCATGTTAACCAGGTGTGTAGGTGTGTGTATGTGCATGTTAACCAGCTGTGTGTATGTGTGCATGTTAACCAGCTGTGAGTGTGTGTATGTGTGCATGTTAACCAGCTGTGTGTGTGTGTGTGTATGTGCACGTTAACCCGTTGCCTCCAGTAGGATGGGAAACATCAGAAAGTCTTCGTGTTTTGCTGCTGAATAAAACCAGATGAAGCCAGAAAAAGCAGAATTTTGCACCAGGTTTGAGTTTTTTGAGACACAAACAGAAACAGCAGAAATTTTTTCTCCTCATGAATGAAACTAAATGTTTTGAGACGACTCGGTGGCTGACTTGTTTTAGTTTATTCTGACTCCAGCAGAAAGACTTCTTTAATGTTCTGCTCCAGAAAAAGTTCTTAAGCTTGTTTTTACAGCTTAAGAAAATATTACCATAAATTATTCATCTCACTGTAACGAGCCTTAGATCTGAAAAACAGTCTGAAGAAATCAGAGAGAACTGTTTTTCAGCAGCAGGGGGGTGATGAAGAGTTCATCTGCTCATGATGAAGACCAGACCAGATGATGTCATCAACGGTAGGAGGTCTGTGGGACAAGTCATCTTCAGAAAGTATCTGCAGCTTTTAGCTTCATGTCAGAGAAGAACAGGAAAGTTTGCATGAATGGAACTTTGGTGCCCCCCAGCAGCTGATGTTGAACCTGATCAGGTCAGAACTGTTTGGTCATGTTTCAACCGCTCTGGCCTCCTCATGTTCCTCTAAATCCACCCCCAGGAAGAGTTCTGACAGCTGACCAGGTCCAAACAGGAGACTTGTGGTTCAGTACAAACGAGGAAACGTTCAGAAGCTTCAGATCCAAATGATCCCATCTCTGGAGAACCGAGGAGGTCCAAACAGGATGAAAGTGTAACTAACGCACGCATACAAAGAGGAGAAGTGGCGTTTCCGTGTATGGTTGTCTCATCCTGTGGGGTACCCATGATGCACCTGGAGCACCAGCTTTAGCCGTCGATGTCCTCGTACAGATGATCAAACGGCCGCGCTGACGATGCCGGCTGCCTGTGACGAGAGTACTTGAGCTGGAGGAGGTCTCCCACCTCACCGATCGCACTCAGAGCCTAAAAACATGAAAACAACAGAATTCATCTTCAGACCCGTTTTTGGTTCCTCACAAATATTAACGCATCAGCAGTTTTGAACTCTCCGCCCCCAGGAGGTTTGCGTTCCCACCAAAACAAAACGACCCGCTGCGTCTGAAGAAAACCAAAATGACAGACCAGGACAAAAGCCGTTTTATGGTTTTCTTCTCTGTTCCTGTAAATCTGAACAGAACCGGTTCTTTCACTCATTCATCACTTTTACTAAACAGCATCATGGCTTGTTCTTCAACCACAGAAACACACATCTCCTTATCTAGAATCACAGACTTATGCCACCAGTGAAAAACCTTTTAAATGGTTTCATCAAGCCTGGAGCCTTTATGCACCCAGCCGAGTTTGCTGTTCAGGTAAATCCAAACAGACGTGACCTGCTGCTACACCAAGGTTCCAGGTGGGGGACGCTAGCGCTAAGTTCTAACGGCGACTCCAGCTAACACAGTTTGTAAATGCAGTTTAAGCAACTTTTTTGTTCAAAGTTTCACCACAAGATGGCACTGTGATTTTGTTAATGCCCTAGAAAGTTTATTTAACATGTTTATTTAAAGTATGATTTTTCATGTTTTCAATACATTTCGTAGCATTTACAGGTGCACAGAATTAATACTTTTTGATATTTGAGTAATTTTGAATTGGTTTATTTTGATAAGGTGTGTTTAAGAGCGCTGTGATGTCACTTCCTGTATCTCGAAGCTTCGGAGATTTTATTGATGCGCACGGACAAATTTGTGCCAGTTAAGAACATTTGAGAAGAAAGTTAAGTGTTTTCAAGTCTACCGGTTTGTCTACTAGCAGGCCAAAGTGGTATGTTTATTCTTTAATTATAAACTCTGTATGTTAGCAAACTTAAGGCAACTAACTTGTTAATTTGTACATGATTTATGCTTTTTCATTAGTTCTACGGTGTTCATGTGGTGTAAAGATTAAGAAGATGCAAGACCGCATTAAACATCAGTAAAAGGAACGCTCGTGTCTCTCGTGTTTGTGAACAAGCCGGCACACAGTTTATCCCCTTAATCTATCGGCTAAGTTTCAAACAATCTGAAGTGAAGTCATAGAAGAGTCGAAGTGAGGCTGATGCTCTTTAATTCTTATCCCGGACAAGCCCCCAGTTTGTTTTGGTCTTGCTAATAAAACTAGTGGGTTGATATGTAAAAAGTTATTCATTTACAAATGAAACAGTCGGGGGTGAGAAGAAGGTGAAACAGAAGCTTCCAGGTGGTGCTGGATATCATCGGGTTTGGTTCTGGTCCTTCAGACTGCAGCTACGGTTAAAGGTTGGAACCAACATGAAAACCAGAGATACGTGAACCTGAAGACTGCTTTTCCCGGGCCACTGGACATCCTTGGTTAAAAACATGACAGATGAAACGTGTCAGAGGTCACCCGAGGTCGTCGTGGCTGTGTCCCCTCGATCTATCGGCTAATTTTCAAACAATCTGAAGGTCGTTGGGTTGCTTTAGGCCTCAACTTTAAAGGTTAAAGCTCTGAGGAGACACCAGGCCCAGCTGGTACCAGTCAGAACCACTCCAGCTGGCCTGTAGGAGGAAGACTGTCAGCGCAGACTCCTGCTGGGCAAATCCAGCTAACAAGCTGAGGAACTTTGAAACAAACTTTCCACGTGTGTGAGTTTTGTAATTAGCCTCTGGAGCTACGAGCTGCAGAAACACAGAACAATTCAGACTAATTATAGGAATTTTAACAAGCAGAGAGAGTTTCTCTCTGAATGGTTACGACTGGTTCTACTGGGGGTGGGAAACATGCGGAGGAACCTACGCAGGATCCGTCCAAATCAATACGGCTGAAATTAACAAGTTCAAGTCCAAACACTCTCTTCTACATGAGAAAAAGACCTGCTTTTACACCCTGAATACAAAGTGGGATCTGAGGGAGTCTGTTGCCATGGCGACAGGGGTTTAAAAGGAAAAATCTACAAAAACGTTAAATTTATGTGGTAATAAAATAAATTCTAATTCAGTGTGGATTAAACGTCAAAATCTTCAAGAGGAATAAAAGAAACACTTTGATCCTTGTTTCAGTCATGATGCGTTCAAAGTTCCTCGGAAATCTGATGTCCAACCATTTTTATTCAGGAATGACGAAAACAATTAACAAACTAAAGAATTCATCTCAAACAAGCAGACACTGAATAAAAGTCCTGTGGGTCCCCGGAGGAATAAGAACAACTTCAGATTTTCAAAGTAAAATCCCCTCATGATGGGAAACGGAGTCGTTACGTTTGGGGCAAATCTTTAAATTAAAATATTCCCACAGGATTGATAAGGGTCTAGACTAGCAAACACTGAATCTCTCTAAAAACAAAACTAGAAAACATCCATGAGGAGGAAAATCTCATCCACAGCAGCTGCCCAAGTCCTCGGAGCCTGGCTCGGGCGTGGACTCACCCTGTCCAGCATGTCTTTGGAGTGAGCGGCCGAGATGCAGAAGCGTGCCCGTGACTCGATGATGGGCGTGGCGGGGAAGCCCACCACCACAACCCCGATGTTCCTCTTCAGCATCTCTCTGCCAAAGGCTCTGATGGGAGGGGCAAACAGCAGGAAGTGAGTCAGAAATTGGACGAGGACCCGGTTTGCAGCACACCGCTGAGGTCCGGACTCACCCGATCTTGGCGGGCATGTAGAGCATCATGGGAACGACGGGAGAGTCGTTGTTGCCATAGATGATGAAACCCATTTCTCTAAGCTTTTTGCGGAAGTAAACTGTGTTTTCTTCAAGCTGCCGCACGCGATCGGATCCTGAGAGGAAAAAACAGCACATAGGAAGTTCATCAGGGCTCGGATTCTGGAACCCGACTGATGTCTTACCTTCATAAAGGTAAAAACGTTTCATATCATCACATCAACAAATAATTAAATCTGTGTTTCACTTTATTTTAGGCTCATAAAATTCTTTGAATGCATGCTCTTATTTTGTCAAGCCTCAAATATGACACACACTTCCGCTCTTCATTCTAAGAAGCAAAGATGGCAGAACGAAGTCAAAACACACCGGCTGAGAAAGAGGCAAGTCTGCATTACCGCTCCTGCTCTCCGTGGGCTATTGCTCCCATAAGATTTTATTCCCAGGGTCGCTCCCATTACTGGCCAACATACCGTCCATAACTCTGGGCAGACACTGCAACCCCGTGGTTGATCATTGGCGGTTTTAAACAGGGGCCCACAGGGGCCTGGGCCCCTACAGAACCGGCCCTGGCCCCTTTATGGCCCTTGTGCTGAAGAGATCAGATTTTTTCCCCCCGCGCTGCCTCGGAGACGGGAACTAATGCGCTGCAGCGTTTCAAACGGAGCCTTTAGAGCGCAGCACACTCTGTGGACAGAACTGTTTAACCGGTGGAATTTTGAATTTAAGATTAAAAATAGTTTAAATGGGACCCAAAGAAATTCTTGAGGACGACTAACGGAAAAGACGCTAAGAGACGAAGGCAAGCAATACAGTTTATTTTCCCAACATCAACGAATTTCCTTTGGCAAAATTGTGCACAAGCACAAAATTAGTCATATGGCGACGACAAAAAAGAATTTTGATATTGCCCTAATTTTTCCCTTTTTTTCTTGCGCCCCCATGAAAAAATACTGGCCCCACTGTGGCCCCCTGGAAAATTTGGCCTAGAAGCGCCCCTGTCGCAGATAGAAAAGGAAGTGTGTGTGTTTGGGAATATTGTCTCTTCTTCAGAAACAAACATCTTTATAGTGATATTTTTATATTTTGCCTAAAGGAAAGCTGAGATGAAGCGAAATACAGAAAAAAAGAATTAGGTTGGGCTGAATACGCTTTTGCTTTATCAAACACAACAATATGGGATTATGTGACTACGATACGTTGAATAAACAAATGTTCACAGAAAAACGACTCATCAGTGATGGACCTGTGATTTATGGGTGCTGCGAGTCGGTTCTCCTCTACAGGTGAGCTCTCCGAGAGGCTAAAAAGGAGAATTATTCAGTAGAACGTTGTTGGTTCTTTCAGGAGATGAAAGCAGACGTCTGACAAGCAGCTGAACGTGTTTCTAAGTGTGAGAAGATGTCAGAGTTACAGCATCCAGACACCTTTGGGTGATCACGCCTTTTCTCTGAAATGTAATTTCCGGCTCCCACAGGAGGCCGAGCGTTCACATCAAACAAACCGTCAGCGGGCTCGTAAATTTAGCCGCACCTCCACACGGGGCTTTAATGAATGCAGAGCGAGCCGAGCTTCCCTCTGGAAAAAGTTCATTTTATACTCAGACTTTTAGAAACAAGTAAACCAAAACAACCAGCAGCCAAGACTCACATGATAAAACCGTTTCAGGTTCAATACACAGATTAGATTAAATCAAGGATTAAAATAAATGCAGAAAACATAAAATCTGCATGAAAGTCTTAATTTAAATGTAAAATAAAAATTACATTAATGACAGTGTTTTCTTCTTTTCACCACAGATGAGTGAGGTTTGTTGTAGAGGGTGATGCTGCCCCCTGGTGGTGAAGGATGAGACTTACAACAGATTCTGAGTCTGTTAACATTAGTAATGACATAATTCTGCAACTGTTTTCAGAATAAAGGTTTATTCAGATCAGACTAAAAACACATAACTGATGTAAAATCGGATTCTGCTGAACTCCCTGTGACATAAACCATAAACCAATGTTAATGAGGCATGTCAGACCGTACCTATCGTTGTTCCATCTTCTCCCATAATGCACTTCATAGAAGTGATGATTTGCTCCACCACAGGAGGAGACATGGAGGTGGCGTAGACGGCGCTGTGAGAGTTGGAGCGCAGGAAGTCGATCAGCTCCTGAACCAGACAAGACAGAAAATCCTCCTTAAAGATGAGCTTTCTTGATGGCTTTAGTGAGTTGCTGAGCAATAACACCAACACCAATAATACGTTTAAACGGTTCATTAAAGAAGATAAATCGAGAATAAATAAAACCAACATGGACATCCTGAAGCAGCAGAGAACACGCTGAACTCTTATTTTGAAAGGATGTGTTCTTCCAGCAGTAAAACATGGAAAACCCTGACCCTGTTAAAATCATTTAGTATCTCAGATCTACAGACATTTAAAATAAAGAGTTAACTGAGTTGTTGGTAGGTTAAAAAAACCTCGACACCGTTCCTTTAACCTTTTCAAACTTTTTAACTCCAGTTGAAACTCCTAACTAGTAGGGAGGTGCATTGCTATATCATGATACCAAGAGCCTGATGTAATGTTTAAGACTAAATTTAAATAGGAAACTCCGGCTAGACGCCTCCAAGACACATGATTATTGTGTTCTGTTAATAAAATGCTGCCACCTAGCTGTCTGAGCTTTAACTGCACCACACAAATGAAATAAAATAAAGGTTTACATGTAATTTCTCAATAGAAAAAAAATCGATACACTGCTTATAAAAATGTTTTCTGCATCAGATGCCATCATCCAGCTGCTTCAACCAACCCACTGTCATCTGGACAAAGCAGGCAGCACTGTGAGGGTCATGTTCTGCGATTTCTCCAGTGCATTTAACACAATCCAGCTTGATGTACTTTGCCAGAAACTCCAGAAGACACAGGTGGGGGTCTCAACTATCGCCTGGATTAAAGACCACCTGACAAACAGACCACAGTTTGTGAGGCTGAAGAACTGCACATCAAACCAGGCGATCAGTAACATTGGAGCACCACAGGGTACTGTACTCTCACCATTCCTTTTCACCCTGTACACCTCAGACTTCCAGTACAAGTCAGAGACCTGTCATCTACAGAAATACTCAGATGACTCTGCAGTTGTCGGGTGTATCAGAGATGGACAGGAAGGTGAGTACAGAGAGCTGGTGGAGCGCTTTGTGGCATGGTGTGGAAACAATCATCTGACCTTGAACGTCAAAACAAAGGAGATGATTTTAGACTTCAGAAGAAACAGGGTGGAGTCAAACACTGTTTCCATCATGGGAGAAGAAGTGGAGGTGGTTGAGGAATACAAACACCGTGGAGTTCACCTGAACAACAGACTGGACTGGAGAAAGAACAGCAAAGCCGTTTACAAGAAGGGACACAGCAGACTGCACTTCTTGAGGACGCTTAGGTCCTTCAATGTCTGTAGCAAGATGCTGCAGATCTTCTACAAGTCTGTTGTTGAGAGTGTAATCTCTTCAGCCATCGTCTGTTGGGGTAGTAGCATCAGAAGCAGGGACCTGAAAAGGCTCAACAGCCTAATAAAAAGGCTGCTTCTGTTCTGGGGACGACTGTGGAACCGCTGGAGGAGATAATGCAAAGAAGGATTCTCCAGAGAATCAAGAAAATGATGGACAACCCTGAGCATTCTCTTCACAACATGTCCGACAACGGAAGAGTGTCTTCAGTCAGAGGCTTCTTCAGTTTGGCTGCAACACTGACCGCTACTGGAGATCCTTCCTGCCAACAGCCATTGTAATATACAACAACTCTTTGATGACTTGATTATTATTATTATTCTGAGCTACTACAGCAATCAGTTTCCCTCTGGGATTAATAAAGTGTTTTTGAATTGAATTGAAAGAACATGAAACGTCGTAATATTTCATCGTATCGATATTTTCTTACATCCCTACTATTTATATTATATTAAGACCTCACTGAAACAGACTAATGAATGATTATTGATGCAAACATTAAAAAGTTAAATTAGAGCCTCACTTTTCTCCCTGCGATGTACCCCCCCGCAGCACCGAAGCTTTTAGTGAACGTTCCCATCAGAACGTCTACATCCCCAGGGTCCAGGCCGAAGTAATCCACTACACCACGCCCCCTCCGGCCCAGTGCCCCGATGCTGTGGGCCTCGTCCAGGTACAGGTAGGCTCGGTAGCGCTTCTTCAGGGCGACGATCTCCGGGAGGCGAACTATGCTGCCCTCCATGCTGCAGGAAACAATCCGGTTAGAGCGGGTTCGTTCACCGTATCCATCTATGTTCTCAGACTGTTTCAGGTCTAATAACGTGTAAGGAGGTAGAGCCAAACCCTTCAGGTACCTATAAATGCCCTCGACCACGATGAGGATCTTCTTCCAGGGTCTGTGGGTCCTGGGCTGACCGTGAACTATGGCTTCTCTCAGCAGCTTCTCCAGGCTCTGCATGTCTGACAGGAAGAATCAGAACAGGAGTGAAACAAAAGTCACTCCCGAGTTTCACACGCAGGCGGAAGCAGCAGACGGAAAAACGATCGGGTCAAAAAAAGCCAGTCTCTTCTACGTCATGGGGAAAATTTGTATTCATGGCCCCGCCCACAACAGCTGAGGACCCCCACAGGAAGGAAAGGGCAGGGCGCATCTGGGCTAGCAGCAGCTAGCCATTAGCAACGCCCCAATAAAATAGAACTCCCTCAGGCTCGTGTTATAAGTGGCGATAAAACGCTGCATTTTTATATCCAAGAAGAGCAAAGCAGTGGAAGAGTCATGTTGCTGTTAGCCAATCAGAGGCGAGATGCTTGCATGTCGTGAATAATAATGAGTCTGATTTATAATCCTGTCGTTTTTCACCTACCTCACTCGTCTGATAAACTTCTACCCCCTGAAACAAGAGCACCAGAGCTTTTCCCACAGCAAACGACTCACAATCATTCGTTCGCAGCAGATTTATGGGCTCGACACACGGGAGGCGACATCGCCTCTCCTCCATTCATTTTCAGTGAGACGTGCGCGACAAAGCGATAATCGCGGGTCTCCCTCCTACCAAGCGAAACGCGAAAAACGTGCGTGTGAAATTTTGCACTCGTGCACGTGTGATGCACAGGCGACCCAGCGACGCAATCCCAGAAAGTTGAAACATTTTCAACTTTTCATCGCTGTCGCTCGGACGAGGACCAATCAACGGAGGTTTCATTCACTGACCAATGAGCAGACAGGATATTCCGTACATCTCCGAGCAAACATGGAGGAGAAGTTGATTATTATTATGTTTTATAGTAAAATCAGAAGTAAGATTTCACATAACTCTAGCAGCACCTTGTGAAACATCATATCTACCGCTTTATTAACTCTGAACCGCTAAATAACCTTAATTCCCTCCAACCTGACACAGCCAAACAAAACAATGGAAGTTTCGATTTCGCCATGGAACAGAACGCGTAGACGGCTTTGCCGCTGGCCGCTGCCGCGGATCGCCTCCCGTGTGTCAGGTAATGAAAGCGACAGCGACAAATTTCGCTGATCGCGGTCGTTTGTCGCCTCCCGTGTGTCGAGCCCATTAGTGAAAAAAATCAGCGAATGAAAACTTTAGATAAGTGAGGTCGGAACACAAACAGAAAACTATTGTAGACAAAGTGAGACAAGGTCCCGTTTCAGACTGACTGTTGTGTTTAAAGACTCTGACGGTGGAACAGGAGAGTCTGGCTCCGAGGACCAGAGAGGCGTGGTTCAGCTCATCACTCAGGATCAGGCAGCCCTGCAGAGAACCGAACCAGAGATGTCAGGAATAGTTTCTGATGGGAGTTCTGCTGATCACTGATTAGAGGAATTCTGTGGGATAAGCGAGGATCAGACGAGCCTAACTTTTCCAGAAAGAGCTGGAATGTTCATGGAGTTGGTGGCGAAGCCCATCCCAAACACCATGGCCGACTCCACCCCGAGGAACTCAGCTACCAGTTTCTCCATCTCCTCATGTTTGTCCAGGTTACCTGAGATGATCAAAACAGAGGCCGATGAGTCCAGAAGCGTAGATACGTGTGTGTGCGTGTGCGCTTACCAATCTCCTGCCTCGTGCTCGCCAATCCAACGCCATACGTCATGGCGACTTCAGCAGCAGCATCAGCACACACGCCTGTGTTCTCAGCGAAGCCGAGGTAATTATACGAGCCCAGGTTAATCACATCCTTCACCATGCGACCCGTGTGCCTAGGGAGGGAGGGGTGGAGAGAGGAAGAGGGCGGAGAGGTCATGAAGGGAACCGGCGGAGCTCTTTTGGACGGTTTTCCACTCCGTTCTGTTGACATGACATCATAACGCAAGTGACCTACATGTGCATGTGCAATAATCTAGCCGTGCAAGATTCTTCCAATTCAAGCACTTTCAAGGATTTCAAACACCTGTAAGAACCTGCATGATGGATGAACAGAGAGTTTCACAAACATTTAATCTGAGCTAAACTGACTGAGTGTGTGTGTGTGTGTGTGTGTGTGTGTGTGTGTTTCCTCTGAATACATCGTTGTTTGCTTGTGGATGAACATATCTGTTGGTGAATTGGACTCACTCAAAGGTCCAGTTGTAGTCGTGGGAGACTCGTTCCATCAGATCCATCTTGGCTCCCGGGACGCTGCATATCGGCCTGTTCCAGTTGTCCCGGATCCTCATGTACAGGTTCCTGGTGTAAAAGTTCTCAAAGTCCTGGTAGAGCGGCACAAAGTCCTGATCAGAGAGGAACATGGGAGTTGGAGAGCGAGAGAGAGAGAGCTTTAGCTTTTAAAGGAACAAAAGATTGTTGTTTCTGGGAGGAAAGGGGTTGAAAAGAAGTTGTTTCCAGGTCCCTCCTTATAAAACACCACGTGACGCTCCGGGAACATGCTAGGAGCAGGATTACAACGGCAGGCTACGAGGAATCCTGAGAATGTTTTAAATCTGCTGGACAGAAAAACAGGAATATTTCTCTGCAGGGCCACGAATGAAACGTTTCCTTCACCTAAAGCAAAACCCGAGTCTCCATTTCAGGTTAGAGGAGTTAAAACTATGAGTTATGTTTTCATTTTGTTTCAAACAAACGTCTGAGTCAGCACCAGAACCGACCCGCTCTCATCTTTAGAACCTGGTTAAAGCTAATCTACACGATGAAAATCCTGGCTTTGTAACGAACTTCACTTTAATCAGATAAAGTTGAGATTAACGAAGTTAAACAAATCAAATGTCAGGACAAAAACTTCAGATTTGTCTCCACTGGTTCCGGTCCAGAACCAGAACCAGAACCTCGCTTCATCATTTAGGAGTTTGCTCCAAATCTGAAACCCACAAGTATCTTCTTCCCTGTTTCCATGGGAACGACCTGTGTATTGTGAACCCTCCTTGAGCAGGGGCGTGTCCAGGGAGTGGCCTGGGGTAGCACATGCCACCCTTGGAATCTGATTGGCCACCCCAGGTGCCACCACACTAATTTACCTTTAAATAGTCTTTTCATTGTCCACAAAAGGCTTGGGGGTAAAACAAAAAAGCATAACCATTGGTGCCACCCATGCACAAAGTTGTGCCTCACCTGGGCCACCCCATTTTAAAAGATCTGGACACGCCACTGTCCTTGTGAGACTCTCCTACCTTTTGTTCCTCTCGTTCTCTGGCGATGTGGCACTTTTCGATCTTCCAGTGGCGGAGGAAGTCCCGGAGGTAGCCGAAGACGGTGAGGACCCCGTACCCCATGTAGGTGAGGACGGCCACCAGCATGGGCGTCTCTTCGTAGGACTCCAGGAAAGGCCGGTTATAGAAGCCGCCATGATTAGACAACCTCTGGACCTAAAACACAAACAGCTCTGTCAACATTAAACCCTCTAACCTGAACATTTCCATGGTGATATCATTTATTATTATGGGGTGACATTGTTCTATAAAAGCATTAACACTGATAGTTGTTGTCAGAGTTACCAGCGGCCTCCTCTCCAGTGTTATGAAGATTAATAACCATCGTAACCTTTTCTCATCATTACACCGACTGAGACAGACTTTATCTAAAACACCAGCCGTTCGAACAGCAACAATAACGGTTTTAGAAGAATAAACCATCTAAAGAGCTCCTTGCGCCTGTTATTTGGGCTTAAACGTGACTGGAACCCAACATAAAGATGTTTAAGGACATTATTGCTATGACTTGGTTTTTTCACAACGTTTTAAAGCTTCATATCAATATTTTCATCGTGTTTAAACAGTCGTGTCACAAACGTGACATCACGTTGTAACACAGAGTTTCCCCGGCGGCTAAGCCTGGCGGGCTGCCAGGCTACGCTCCAGTTCGCCTGGTTCGGCCAAGCCCCCACAATGCGGAAGTGAAATAAATTGCAGTTCCACCCTCATCCACTAGGGGCTGGTGTCAGAAACGAGCAAATCCTCATTGACTCCCATGTTAAAAATACCAATTTCACAGCAGAAATAAACATGTTTACAGCCTGGTACCAAAACATGTTTTAGGTTTAAATGATCTAGTTTACACTCATGACAACTCTGAGGGGGGTGAATTTTTTCTCACTCTTCTGTTTAAGTGTATTAAAAGCCTAAAATTCTGTATAATTAATGAGCATCAGACCCACGTGACCACAGAGCTAGCTCCGTGGAAAGGCCTCAGTAGAGCCTCGGTCTGGCTTCTGTGTTTGTGTATTCTTGTTTGGATAATTATTTGTGCAATTGTTGGACAAAATGACTTGCTGTGGCATTAATTGCACTAATAGAGCGTCCAAGGAGTCTCCACTTCATTTTTTTCGGTAAGTAAAATTATATTTATGTATTTTAGGTCACTGCCGAGCTGAGCTTAGATTTTAACATGTACTGTTTAACCATGAAATTTAAATGTAATAGGGTAAAACCCAGTGCATTTAACATAATGCTGCACTTTAGAAAATGGGTTGAAATATAACATGTTGGTGGAGCTGGGTTCCGACTATCAGCTTGTGGAGCTCTCGGGAGACCGATGTTTTCCACCCGGTTCTCCCCTCCCCGCAGCTCGGCGTATCTCTGTCTGATCGCGGCTGACGGCTTTCAGCAGCTTTCGGGAGACCTCTGTGTTCCACCCGGTTTTACTCAGCGGTCAGCCCGGCATATCTCTGACTCAGAAGCTCTGGTGTTGTGCACAGTTAACTCTGGTTGTAGCTAGGTTGCTACCTCCGCTAGCTTAGCTCCCACCTCCGCATTAGCTTTGGGTTAGCTTCAGGTTAGCTTGTAGCTAGTTAGACCGGGTGTCGTCAGTTGACCCCAGCCTTACAGCCCCACCCTCAGCTCCACCTCTCTTCCCTTTTATGGAATTGTCTGGGCTTGATGGAACCTGTGACACGGTCAAAATGGCGGTGGTGGCCACCTCCCATTTTGGCACAAAAACGTGTTATTGGAGCCTATGGAAACCCATTGTCCATATATGTATATGTTGATGGTTTCAGCACAAAAAATTCATCCAGAGAGTAGCAACAGACGAAAAGATCTGGTGTTTTATTTCCTGATATCTGGACAGCTCTCCTCTGATTGGCTAACAGCAACACGACTCTACCACTGACTCTTGTTTGCTCTACAACGTTGATGTTTTATCTTCACAAACAACACAAGCCTGGAGGAGCTTCTGCTGTGTGGTGGAGTTGCTAATGCTAACAGTTAGCTTCTACTAGCTGAGATGTTCTCCTGGACGCTACAAGGTGAGATGGATGACATCAGGGAGAGAATGTGGTGAACAGTGTTTGTTTATGTCCAGGATTCAGTAAAGTTGACATGAACCAGACAGGTTGACTCGACCTGTTAACCGTGTCAAGTTTTGACCTGCAGTCACAGGAAATGGTCCTGGCGGTTCATCTAAAACAGCTCGGACTCATACGAGCTCCAGGAGTACAGGAAAACTCAGAGGACACACCTGCCTGCTAAACAAGAGACAAACGGGTTGTGCCGAGTGAGCGGAGCACATCAAAACCTGCTCCTCCACAGGCATCCTGCCCGTCTCCACAGTCATGTGACCAGTCATGCCTTTTTCAAATACTCTACTGAATAGAAACGCTGTCATGTGAACCGACTCTGAGGCTTAGTCACCAGAAGCCGGGTGTCTAACGACATACCAGAGCAGCAAAACTTAGATCTGATTTCATTTAATGAAACGTTTAGATCCGCTTCTCAGGGAAAATCTCAGGGTGAAAAACAGATTCATGGTAGAAGTTCTGCTGCGACACATCGGAGGTACTGATGTTAAAGAGCAAGTCACCCCCTACCAGAGTATTACTCTTCTCCCACTTCCTGTTTGAAAAATGCAACAAATGCTGTTGCCTAGCAGACCGAGAGGGCAGAGCCGCTAATACACAGAGGCTCACAATGACATTGTGACATCATATGGTACCAGCTAACATTCTCGGGTACCTCTTAGCCAATAGCGATGGCAGATTTAAATTCAAATGCAGTGCTGAGTTTTTACCTGACAACGGCACAACACTGCCAGTTTAAGGCAGAAAATTTAAATTTTAACTAAAATGCACTAAAGTGTTAAACTATTGACGACACGTGTCTGCAGCACGACTAGACACACATTTATATAGTTTATCAGGAAAAAAAAGTTGATTTGTTTATGTTTATTTATTTGGCAGACGCTTTTATCCAAAGCAACTTACAAATTATAACCTATAGCGCATGTTGTGATCTGTGGGGGAAACCGGAGTACCCGGAGGAAACCCACGCATGCACGGGGAGAACACGCAACTCCACGCAGAAAGGCCACAGCCGAGTTTCGAACCTGCGACCTTCATGCTGCAAGACAACAGAGCTAACAACTGCGCCACCATGCAGCCCTTGGGGGTGCATGGTGGCGCAGGTGGATTTGGGGGTGACTTGCTCTTTAAATCCTGCTGCAGACACACGTGATGCTGCTTACTGATGCATCACGATGCTGTTGCACTTCTTCTATTACGAGTGCCATTTCTAAAGTCTGTGGTCAGGAATGTTGGTGTGAAACTGTTCTGCTTTCGTTTAACCGCACCAACTTTGCAGACTGAGATTAATTCAACATCAGAGCGATCACCCAGGAGTCTGCAACAGCGTCTCTTTCTTTAAACATCTTTGGTGTGTTCTTGCTGTGTTGAAATTCTAATTCCATCTTTTGCAGCCGCAAACGAAACGTTGCTGCAGGTAAATAAAACCTTTCTGTGTTTTAAAAAGAACTAAAAGATGGAATTAGCATGTCTTTCTGTCTGAAGGGACCTGGCTCACAGCTTTCACCCAGGAGAGAAAAAGTTATTAGTGTGTGTTGGAAAAAGCTGTTTCAACGTGCGGGCCTGTCTGAACAGGTGATCTGACTCAGCAGCTACCTGAAACGTTTTTAGCTTTAGACCCAGTTAATAAAAGTCTTGTTGCCTCGGTTTTACAAACTCAGATGAGTACTTCACTCTAGAAAAAACTTCATTTCACATCCACAGAAGGACCACCTGTCTTTCTTTGCTAAATTCAAGCTAATGCTAACTGGAATAAACATTTAAGGGAATCAGCATCAACAAGGAACTTCTAGAAGCTCAACGCCAAAGAGAGCAGAAAGCAGCTTCTCGTTAAATGAGCTGGTTTCATCATTATGAAACCATGTCATGTCATTCTCCCAGTGTTGTTTACTAATGTTCCATGTTTTGCTAATGTGTTTTTATGATAGAAAACAATTGTGACATACTTCGACAACACAAAGTTGCAGCATTTTTACTGCCGCCTGTTAAAACCTCATGGCTCATGCTTAATCTTGTTATTCTTTATCCTTTTAGAACTACTGATTTTATTTGTTTGCAAAGTTAAGACTGAATAAATGATCAGGAATCATTTCTTAAGTTAATTTGAATTCTGGAGATCTTCTGAAGACCCCCCCCCCCCCCCACACACACACACACCTGCGGTTTTAAGACCCCCAAGGGGCCCAGATCCCAATTTAGATTTATTAGGAATGTTTTCCAAACATTAGCAACACAATGAGACCGTACTGAATCCACAGACTTCACACACAGTCAGCAGCTCACAATCTTGTCTCCTGAGAAAACCATGCGATCTGTAAACAAGCCAACTTCACTGGCAAAGAAATGTAAACAGTCCAAAGATGAGTGACTGATTCTCAGTAGCATTACTTTTCATCTCCTACAACAAATTTGCACTGCATGCACCTGAACCGTGTTTATGAATAAAACCAATACTAGATGCACAATCAGTATTCACTAGTCTAATCCCCCTGAGGAACCCCATTTACCAACACAAACCCATTCATAAAGTTGTCTAGTAGAAATTTTATTACGCCGAATTACACAGAAACTCTTGGTGACTGACTAAAATCAGTATGCTTTATTTTAAAAGGAATCATGACGATAAGGAAGTTAAAACTTCTTAATTACTAGACATTTTACATGGAATTTGGCGAGATTCCTTTAGATGCTCATTAGAACGTGATGGCAACAGACACGCGCGCGGAGCAGGAGGCTGCTTTTTGCGGCACATTTAAAAAATGCAAACATTAACGGTAGTGGCGGAGGTGAAGGTATTTTCCGGTTTTATCGGGCATCAAAGTGGAGGTTTTACCCGCTACAGCGACCTCTCCTCCCAGTGCCAACCCGGGCCTCACCTCTTCCTCATCCTGCTGGCAGCGGTGGACGCTCCTCAGGACGCCGTTCCTGCCCGGTTTCAGCCCGTTCGTCACATGCGGACCCACTTCCCCGTTGGCTGCCTTGGTCAGGGGGCTTTCGGTCATCGCTGGGCGACGGCTGGCTGTTCCGTGACGGTAACGTACATAGGAACACAGAGCCTCCCGGCGGTGTAAACCAGGGACAGTATCCGAGCGAGGCACGTTTACAAACACACACTTGAAACTCTCACACACGCATATCACACACCCATACACACATCACACCCGGTCACCTGAAAATACTAACATCTTTCATGGGAAATCAACGCCCCGTTAACTGTAGCGCCGGTTAAAGGAGGCGGGGCATCAAGGACAGGGGGCGTGGTCTGTTGAGTTAGCTTTCAAATCGACAGCATTTATGCTAATTACTACAAATAAACTGATTGAAATGACGGATTCGGGGCTGCCACCGCTCACGCAGGGAGCGTCACGCGACTGTTCACACTCCCCTAGCTGCAAGTTCAGACCTAACGACCGAGAAGGGGGAAATGGCGCCCTTCAGTGTTTTTTTCTACTTCTACATTTTGTTCATTGCTGGTTGAATTTAAGCCACGTCATTTTGTAACTTTAACTACACTGACAATAAAGTTTACTTCGATTTTGCTTCGATTTAAGACAACTACTTGATGGTTCAAAGACCAACACATACCCAACTGCATCTAATAAGCACACTCATTGATACAGACAAATATCCATATTTTGTTTAAAACATTCAATTATTTGGATTTCATAATAAATGCATAAACTACTAAAAAATGATAAAAGTAACCAATAACAAAATAAAAATGTAATTATTTCTGTTGTTTGTTTTTGTCTAAATAAACTTTAATTAGTTGTAATATGTCATCTGATTTGATTGATAGTGACATAGTCCGGCATTTATGTTTTATTTAGGTCAACGTGCTCTTTCAAACATAATTTCTTATTGCAGGCAACGTTCATAAAGCTAAACAAGACATAGCTCCTTAGTACTTCCTATAGTCTCCTTCAAAATAAAACAAAGCTTAAAATCTATTAATGCTTAAATGAGTGTTAACAACGTATTTAGACTAAATAACAAGAAAGCCAGAAAGTATTCACTTGTAAAAAATACTTAACTACTAAAACTCAATAAATCAATGTAAATTATTTGTGTTCAACAAGTTTAAATCAACGAGCTAAAGCAGGAAGTATTAGCAGTTAGCTAACAGCGCTACAAAACATATAGGATCATACGCCCTCTAGTGGCAACAGGGAGGAACAGTATTTTCTTAAAAAAATGTGTCAGATGTAAAATTATTAGGTCTTAATTTGAGGACCAACACATGCCCAACTGCATCTAGTAAACGCAGACAATGATACTGACATAGAATATTTTTAAAGTTCCACATTGTTTTAAACGGGAAACGCGGGAATGTATTTAGATTTCCCAAATGAATGTATTAACTACTAAAATAAAATAAAAGCCGGATACAAAACAAATAACCAGTAACAGAATAGAAACGCATTTATATTTTGCTGTTTGTTTGTTCTTTTAATAAACGTTCAATTTAATTTAATTACTTGTAACCCGTCATTTGATTTGAGTGATGACCACATACTCAGTCTTCTATAAGGGTTTCATGTATTTAATTTAGGTCAACTGGAAGGGAAAAACGAGAACTCGATCATTGAAATGCTGGTTTATGAGATAAAGGGGGTCTGCCCTCTAGCGGGCAAAGTTAGTTATTACGGGCAGTTTTCATAAAGCTAAACAAGACATAACTCTTTAACTTTTCCTGTAGATATTTCAAAATAAATTACCACCTAAAATTCATCACGGGTTTAAATGCGTGTTAACAGCATACTTAGACTAAATAACGGAAAACCCAGAACGTCTATACTTATAAAACGACTTAACTACTAAAACTCAATAAGTTAATGTAAATTATTTGTGTTCAAGTTTAAATCTACGAGGTAAAGTAGGAACTTTTAGCAGCTAGCTAACAGCGCTACAAAACAAGTGGAATCATACGCCCTCTAGTGGCAACAAGCGGAACTAAATCCACAGTAGACCTAGACAGATTTTTCTCTTAATATATTAAATTAAATTATTAATATGTAATATAAAAGAAATATTTACGCTACAAATTTCTATCTGCATATATTTATAGTTTCTAATAAAATATGTCGGATGTAAAACTATTAGGTCTTAATTTGAAGGCCAACACATGCCCAACTGCATCTAGTAAACACAGACAATGATACTGACGTAGAACATTTTTAAAGGCCCATATTGTTTTTAACGGGAAAAGCATGAATGTATTTAGATTTCCCAATGAATGTATAAACTACTAAAATAAAATAAAAGCCAGATACAACACAAATAACCAGTAACAGAAAAGAAAAGCATTTATATTTTGCTGTTTGTTTGTTGTTTTAATAAACGTTCAATTTAATTTAATAACTTGTAACCCATCATTTGATTTGAGTGATGACCACATAGTCTATAAGGGATTCATGTATTTAATTTAGGTCAACTGGAAGGAAAAAACAAGAACTCGATCATTGAAATGCTGGCTTTTGAGATAAAGGAGGTTCTGCCCTCTAGCGGACAAAGTTTTTTAATACAGGCAGCGTTCATAAAGCTAAACAAGACACAACTCTTTACCACTTCCTGTAGATCATTTCAAAATAAATTACCACCTAAAATACATTACGGTTTTAAATGAGTGTTAACAGCATACTTAGACTAAATAACGGAAAACCCAGAAAGTCTACACTTATAAAAACTACGTAAGTACTAAAACTCAATAAGTCAATGTAAATTATTTGTGTTCAACAAGTTTAGATCAATGAGTTAATGCAGCTAGCTAACAGCGCTATAAACATATCAGGTCGTACGCCCTCTAGCGGCAACAAGGAGGAACTAAATCCACTTTAGATTTAATGGGATTTTGCTCTTAATAAATTATGTCATGTTTAGATCATATAAAATAAATATATTAGCTACAAAGTTTTACCAGTACAAATGTATAGTTTCTAATCCAACATGTCAGATATAAAAACTATTAGTTATTAGTTCAGACACCAATACCCGATAACTTCATTAATAATAACGACATTTTGAAAAATAAAATGAAAGTGTAATAAACACATTTCCAAATCACTCCTAATCAAAATAAACCTTTGTAACCGTCCAATAGATAATTTATAAGAAAAATTGGCTACCTTTGTGGTATAAACTTGCTAATCTGACATGATTGCTCTAAACATGAATCATTTAATTTATTGTGAAAGCGTGATGCAAAGACTTGTTTCATAGAAAGTTAAGAAAATCTGCTTTTCTCACACCCCTCCACCTGGAGCCACTATGCTCCACCCACCTGAAGGACTCCATGTTGGAATTCTCGCTGGTGAACACCAAAGACGATCCTCCAGGGGAACAGGAAGGTCACTTCTTTGCAGCTCCAAGCAGATCAGATCCTTCTTGGGTCACAAAAACAGCATAAACGTATTTATATTATGGTGCCAGGAAAGCAATAAGAACGGCATAAACAATATAAACACACCTTGTGAATTAGAGGGAGTCTGCAAGCACAGTTTAACCTGCAGCATGTTCATTTATTTCTCCTAGATGTTAGACTGAAATATTTTAAAGAGTCTGAATTTGACAGTTTGAGCTCGTTGGTAAACTTGTTTTTTGAGCTAGACAGAAGGAGGTCTCTGTGTTTGGACGACCGGGCCTGCTGCTCGTTAAAATCCAAAACTGCAGATGCCACAATCTCAGTCCACAACACGTCACAAGTGAAGATGTAAGGCTCATTTATGATTTTGTTACACCTGCTTCTGTGTGATACAAACAAAAACAGGTCCCAGATTAAACACTAAGGTAATTACAGCAATATAAAATTAAAATTCCTATCTCACTCTCATCCATCCAAGTCCTCTTGAGGCCTGGGAGCTGAGGGTTCTTAGCTGTTCCTAGACCTGTGTACCAAACAATAAAGTAACATTATTTATATTTATCTTGTTTTTGCATCATCTGATATTTTAGCCAGTCACTATTTCTGGAGGGTCACCAACAGAAGTAATACTCCAAGCTGCCACCAGGTGGCAGTCATGGATAACCGCTGATTTTCTCCCACAGATACTTTTGTTTTTTGTACATACAGAATTTAGTCACATGAAACCCTAGAATAACTATTTATTATGATTCACATCTAAATTAATCTCATTTTTAATAAATACTGTGTGACAAACTCATAAAGGAGGAATATAATTCACCATTTTAGTGGAAAAAAGTCAATAACCTGCTATTGTTAAAGCTGTTTATTAAAATAAAAGCCTCACCTGTGATTATTCACTCAAAGAACTAGATTTTAATGAACATGAAAGCATAAGAAATTAGCCTGATTATGCCCATTATGTGTGTGTTTTAATATCCATGTTAACAGGATGTATTTAAATGTGTTTAAATGAAACGTTTATCATTTTACCACCAATTAGAGTTGAGGACAAGGTGGTTTCTACATCTAATCATTAAATTAATGTTTGACTAAATGCTTTTTTGTGATAAAATATGAGAGTCAAATGTAAAAGGTTTAAATGTTCTCCTGAAAGCACAGACGTTGTGTTAGGTGTTTCTGCTTTTATTTTGAAGGACTTTTTAAAACATAAACAAGCTCATGGAACAGGCTGTTCTGGTTCAAGGAGCCCGTTTTAACAGTTTGTTCTGTTTTCAGTGGCTTTTCTTCTCAAATTGAGCTGCTGGAGGTTTTTTTTAACATTATTTGAGGCGTTGTTGGAGAAAAACGTGTCGATCAGTTCAACATCCAGAAGTTAAATGTGGAATCCACATTCTGGCCAGTGATAGCTTCAGACTCCTGCAGCACCTGTGATATTTAAATCCAGCGGGTGTCAGGCTAAAATCCATTCAGTCCAATTTGAACTGACGTCGTCCAAGTTGGAGGATAGAAAATGGAGATCACGAACAGAAGCCTGCAGTTGCCTGTGGTCAGTTTGCATAACTAAAGGGATGAGCCAGGAGAACACACCTTAACCCTAACCAGCAGATAAATCATGAAAGTCTGAAGCCTGCAGGTCTCTACCCACAGATGGACACTGGAAGCTGGTTCCACAGAAAACAGCCTGAGACCTGGAGGTTCTGTTCTTCTTTCAGAACCTCTAAACCTGCAGCAGCTCTGCTGGAACAAGATGATCTCTGATGGAAGGAGGACGTCTCAGAGCCTCAGAAGTTAGAAGTAAAATGTTAAATCAGTTCTGGATCTGATCAGGGGCGGATTTAGGACTGAAGAAGATCCGGGGCTTAACACACACACACACACACACACACACACACACACACACACA